AATGAAAACATTGTTTGTGTGAGGTGTCTGTGACTATTAGAGATGTGATTTTATTGCTTTGAGTTGTCACTGCCAAAAGGTTGGGCTGGGTTGCTCTATGCTACACATTTACAGTCTTGAAAAAATTAAATAGGTGGTGTTGCTCAAACAAAGTAGAAGTGTGTCTGTCCCTCAGGTGCTCAGGTAGAAACACCTTAAGGCCTATAGTCTTTAGAAGGGACATTCTCTGGAAAATTTTACTCCATTCATGTGCCTCAAGCTTGTCCCAGAAGGACTTAGGCTCCAAAACCAATAGGTATTTGTGGAAAACTTGGCTCTGGTTTTTCAAAGTCTGTCCTCCACATTGGTAGGCAAGCATTTTTATCCCAAATGTTTGGCTTTCAGGAATGTTCTTTTTCAGAGAGAGCTTGCTCACTGCTAAGCTACTGGTTGCACAGTTATGCACAAGGTAACTATTCAATGGTTAATAGAGGTAGTGTCCATGTCCAAGAAAAATAAAAAACCTTGGGCTGTGTGATGCAATTCCAGTAACCTGAAATGGAACATTGTAAGGTACTCTGAAAAAAAAAAAAAACAAAAAACATTTCATGCCTTTAAAGCCACTGAACAATAAATAAATAAGCAGTGACTTTCAGCAATTGCTCATGGCTTGATTTATCATTGATCTCTAAGTGTGACAGAGGTCGAACTTACTCCTAAGACTACTTAGTGTGGAAGGGACTGCAGTGGTGGATTCCAGACTTCTTTATAAGCATGGTGATACAATGCCAAGTAAATTTTGAATGCTGGTTATGAGAAAGGTGTAGATAAGACTGACATTTGCCGTGGAAATGAGCACATGAGCTGAATAACCCAGTAACTGCAAAACTGTGTAGTCATTGAAAGAAAACGTGTCAAAAATGGTGCCAATGAATACAGTTTCATTCTTGTGTCCTTGGAGGGTGTATCAGAGTTACCCAGATGGACACTAGAGACAAGCAATTTTGTTTTTCTGGGTGCTTCTCCCTTAAGATGCACTGAAGCATCTTAATGTGTGATGACTGAAACACTGGGACTGTGACCCCGGTGCTGAGTAATGGGATCTAGAGCCTTTCCCCTGTAGGTCATGGGTTCAGGTCTGCCTCGAATTAAGGATGACTAAAACTTGTTACCACCTGGCAGCTGTTCATTGCTCTTGGGAGCGGGAGACACAGTAGTCCTTACATAGTTCTTAGCAACACAGAGGAACAGTTACCACTGACTTCAGGCTCTTCAGAAGGGCAAAGAATTTAGTACCTTGACCAGCTTCTGTTGCACTTGGTGGGGAGCTTCAGCAGATGTGTTCCATAGGATGTGAGGCTGACTTGCACATGGCAGATCTTGAGTGATCGGGCAAAGAGCTAAGAGGGAGGCCTATGAGTATCAGAGAGGGTAAGGAGGAGGAAGACACTTTCCTCTTCCTGGAAAAAAACCAGCTTTTTAACGAGAACTGATACTCGGCAACAGAGATTCCGTCACTGAAACTGTTGAACGCTGGCCTTCAAACACATTCTTGAGAATTAGGCACTGATACGCTAAATGAGAAATACTGCCAGGACACTGGTGTTACTGCTTTGTTGTAATTTCTCCCCCCTCTCGCGTTTTTTAAAATTTGTTAGCTAAATTGTACAGATGGCATGGTATCTCATTTTTAGTAGGCAGACACCTAGAGTCTGATGGCTCTGCTGGAAGGACAGTGTACAAGCTGCTGCACTGTGTTATCACCAGCCCATGACCTGTTATTAAATCAGCACTTTGGCTTGTGGGAGTTTATGCTACTGTTTCAGTCATCTAGGTACTGAATTGTAAGGAATCATGTAGTAAAGGGCTCAAATGCCATCAAGTGGCTTTTGATATATCAAAAGGGAAAGTGATGTGTGAATTTTGTTGTCAGAATATTAAAATGAAATACTTCTGTCTGTCTTTGATATGGAATAAAATTGGAAGTATTTGTACTTATATGCCATATATGCAATTTCAGTCAGTAGCATTTTCAGTGTAAAGTGTTGCTGCCACCAAGTAAAAGAAAACAGAGACCATAAGGGAAAACCACAGAACACCAGCATTTTGGTCATATTTTCCATCGCAGCACTTGTCCTATAATGTGGAAATTCTGACTATAATGCTTTTTTTTTTCTTAAAAGTGTAAGGAATGACTTTCTGCAGAGTGTATGAGTCTTGAGTGTAGTATTGTATCTCTTCAGTACAGTGAGGCTAGAGGCTTCAGGTACATATCAATGACACTTTTTACTGAGTTCTCTCGCAGGTTTTTTGCACCAACTGTGGAAAATCTGGGAAAAAAACCCAAAGCAACAAGAGGCTTGATTTAAAAAAAAAGCATATTCAACTAATTGTGCTGATTGTGTAGGTTTAAGATGCCTGAGTGCGGCGCCATCCAGTGATCTTTGCAAACTTCCAATCGAAATAAATTAAAACATAACTGGTTAGAACTTTCACATTTTTCTTTTTTCCTTTCCTTTTGCTCTCTTTTACTTCTGATATGTCAAATGGCCACTGATGTATCCACTCGCTTCTGGTCTGTCCATGTATTTTCACATAATCTGGCTTTGCAGAGGAAAATTCTGTCAATCTGCATTTATATTTCTTTGTACCGGACTGCTGCCTTGTATAAAGTACCCATCTTTGCCGGTGGAGTTATCTTTGCTCTGTTTGCCTGAAGAAATGTAGATAATGGACCCTTCAAATAAATAATTAAATGCTGTAATGCCTTAAGAACAATGTGAAGGGGATTTGCTGCTGGGTTCTGGAACGTGTGCCCATCTTCTTGGGTGGTTTTGCTATTCCTGGTTTGAATGTTAAGAGTAATGTTAAAAGAATGTAAAAGGCTGCTGTTCTGATGACTGACTTGCACGCTGCAGTTTTGATTAGCTAGATCTGCCTTGTTCAGTGAAGTTGATCTGGTTTGACAGGTCCTTGATTAGGAAGAGATCATCTCTGTTGATAGTAAACAGTTGGTCACTTCAGCAGAGATGGGAACGACGCCCTTTGTCTTGTGTGAACTGTGGTTTGTTGGTTCAACTCTAAAAGGAACACGTGGGTGGAAGGGAGAGAATATAGTACCAGGAGAATAAATTTGTGGTAGACTCCACAGTCCTCATAACATTGGGGCTTTATTGTCTTGGCTGGCATTGACACAAAAGGGGGGAGAGTCATTTTGTCTTTGAAGCACTTGCAGTATAGAGGATTGCACAAGAAAGGTCTAGTTCCAAGGCATACAGAGTAGGATAACTCTGCTCCCTTATTCCCCATATTCCTGTAAGGTGAAGCAAAATTCAAGTATCAAGGACTGCTGATTGGTGGAGAAAGACAGCAGTGAGCATAAACATAGGGCTGATGAATGAAAGTATTTTTAGGGTATAAATCTTGATAAGAATTAACAATAGCTTTTTGTTACTGTGTGTGTACAGTCTATTATTGTATGTCCTTTCACTGTAGTAAGAGTGATGTTAAGAAATTCTAGAGGCACTCTAGGTCAGGAAGTTGTACTTTGATTTATTTTTTTTTATTTTGTTTTCTGTGTGCTGGTCTCTGTTACTTGATATGAAGGACATAATACCACACTGGACAGACTGAAAAAAAATTGTGTGTATTGTGGAAACACTTACTTCTTCAAAGAATTGCTGAACAAGAAATGAAGCAATGGTTCATGCCAGAATGTGTGTATGGTTTAATTGCTGAAGGTCTCATTCTGACAGCTTTATGCATGCAGGGGCCTAGCTTCTTGCCTCTGGTGGTCGTTTTAGCCCTGGGGGTGTTACAGGTGGGGTGAGGGCCCAAGTGACTGAAAAAGTATGTCCCTGTTTAGGCTTGGGAATCTCATCTCCCACGCTGCCAACTGGCTATGGATCAGTCTTCTGTTGTATGGCCTAGGAAGAGATAGATGTACATGCTTTATTTCTGTTCATGCTGTTGCAGAACTAAACTTTGGCAGTAATTCAGATCACCAGTGTCAAGCTTATTAGGACTGAGAAAAATGTAACAAATTCGACCAGGCTTGTACTTAGATTCTTATCCTCATCTGGATGTGGTCTTGATTCAGCTAATGGGCTGTATTAATTGACATCACCTCCCACATGCATTTGCTAGAGAGACTGCAAGGGAGGTTATATAAAGTGTATGAACACTAGCTGAGTGGTTTTTTGGAGAAGGGAAGATAATCTTCCACTCTTTATGCAGTGTTTTCTGGTGAGGCAAATTGAGTATGGCTCCCTCTAGAGCCTGTCGACTCTGCAGTCTTCCTCTACCTCTTTCTTTTGTGTTTTGTCTTCTTTTTTTCCTTCCCTTCTTCCCTCCCCCGCCCACATTTTGATATGGAGCACACTGTTCAGCTCGTGTGGGTTTAGAAACAGATGTTGCACATGAATCATCTTCTGCATCACAGCATGTTAAGCCAGGTACTGGACCACTGAGTAAATTAGCTGTAGGCAGACCTTTCTGCTGCACTCAAAACTGCATCTCTTTATGTGAACTTAGTATTTTTCCTTTTTTATTTAAGGCTGAAAGAAATACTTCTGCTCACTCTTTCCCTCCTCCCTTTTTTTTAACCAAAGAGAAACATTTGCCTTCTACCTTTGCCAAATTATTTAGTAGAAGAGTGTAAATTAAAGCCATTTATCTTGAAGTGTGCTATTGGAGCAGACTGTTTATACAAGTGTAAGAAATTCTAACATAGTATTTCGTCTGGTCTGCAAGGAAAAGGTTTTTTTTTCTTTTTTAATTTTTACAGGTGGGATATTGGTTATAATGTAGAAAAAAACGAGGCTCCCACATCTATGTTTCAGTGCAGTAGCAGTCAGAGGTACTAAAAGCTGTTACTAGTTTTAGAGTTACACTGTCATCATTTTGAGATAGAATAGTGTCTTGACTGCACACAGTCGAGTTTTTCTGACTGGAGGGTTTTCATCAAGGGAATGCAGAATAAGGTACTGGCTAATACAAAGTGCTTCATATTTACCCATCAGTTGGTGGACGAGTGAGTCGGGAGTTAAATTACACGCGGCAGAAGATTGGAGAAGAGGCCATGTTCAACCCCCAACTCATGATCCAGACTCCACAGGAAGATGGTGCTAATGTACTGACAACGGAAGCACTCCGACAGCACCTTGACTCTGCACTCCAGGCCAGCAGAGTGCACGTCTATATGTACAACAGGTAAGGGGAGAATTAAGAGTTGTCCTGGTCATCTGTAAGAGCAAGAAGGTGGACACATGCTTTCTTCCATGTATTTTTACGTGGTTAGCATTTCTCAGTCTTTCCCTTGGGGCTGTGTTTTGATTTGTATGTCACTGGTTTCTGATACTTGACACTGTGGAATGATAGCAGTGACAAATTGGCATTTAACAAGTAAAATGGGGTAAGTGGTGTTGAAAGAGATTCTGAGAGAGTACCCCATGAGCTGTGCTACAGCATGCAGCATTTGTTTTGGTAAAGAAATGAGGTCTGTGATCTTAAACGTAGGACCTTATGGATGGGATTCCTAACATTGAAAATCCTTCCATGTTAGAGTTGAATTCACTTGCTGACACCATCATGAGGTACATAATGACTGTAAACAATGACACAGGTTACTGTCCTTCCAGTAGTTTAGATGTAAAGGAAATGCAGATGTGCTAGCAATGTCAGGTGGTGGAATAATAGCTGTTTAATAACACAGACAACAGAGTTGGCCTTGAAGAGTGTCCGTATGTGCATACTGAAGGTTGGGAGTTGGGTGTTGTCCAACAGAAAAATAATAATGGTATACTTTAGGTACCAGCTTTGGGCTAGGATATGTCCCTGAAAAATTATTCCTCCAGGGTTATTACTTACACAGTGATGTGCCCAGGAGTTCTGCCTGTGAGGCACTGAGCTCCCTGTCCTTCAGCAGCTCTTTTCAGCATACTCAGCCTCTGTGAGCTAATGCTGAGGCTTCAATTATCTTTTACCCAGCTGCTGCCTTGCCTAAAGTATTAGAAGTCATGGCAGTGGAAATTGTAATGTAGGTGAAAAAGGAAGACAGAAATCTTAATGGTTAATTTTCTTCAGCGTATGTGTGGGATAGCTGGGTATATTCTAGTCCTCTGAGCTGGAGCTGGCTTCTGACATACTTGTTACACTGAGTGATATCTTAAGTCACAAATGGTCTCATTTATACGAAGATGGATTTTTTTCTCCCATTAACATGTGTTGACTAGCCTGTACATGCAAAAGCACCTCCCTTGTTTTTAATGAGTGTTACAGAGAATAGGAGAATAACTGAATAACTGTACCAAATGTCTACTCTGTAACTACAAAAAGAAAGGCCTTTTTTGGGGGTGGGGGGTGGAGTCTTTGGGTGTTTTTTTGTGAGGTCTAGCATGTTTATTTTTAATAATACTTGCCTTACTGAATGATTTCCCGCTTGAGGGCAATATCACAGAATCACAGAATGTGCTGAGTTGGAAAGACCCACAAGGTTCACCGAGTCCAATCCCCAGCCCTGCACAGGCCCATCCCCAGGAGTCACCCCCTGTGCCCCAGAGTATCATCCAAACCCTCCTGGAGCTCTGGTAGCCTTGGGGCTGTGCCCACTGCCCTGGGGAGCCTGGGCAGTGCCCAACCAGCCTCGGGGGGAAGAACCTTTGGCTGAGATCCGACCTGAGCCTGCCCTGACACAGCTCCAGCCCTTCCCTGGGTGCTGTCCCTGGTCCCCCCAGAGCAGAGCTCAGTCCCTGCCCCTCCTCTGCCCCTGCCCAGGCAGTTGGAACTGCACTGAGCTCTCCCCTCAGTCTCCTCTGCTCCAGCTGAACACACCAAGTGCCCTCAGTGTCCTCACACGCCTTCCAATCAAGGCCCTTCCCCATCCTCCTGTCCCTCCTTTGGACACTCTCCAATGGCTCAATCCCTTCCTTCCATTGTGTCCCCCCAAACTGCCCCAGTGTTGAGGTGAGGCCGCCCCAGGGCAGAGCAGAGTGAGACAATCCCCTCCCTGATGCCCCAGGACAGGGATGTCCCTCCTGGCTGCCAGGGCACTGCTGACTCAGGGACAACTGGCACCACCAGGACCCCCAGGGCCCTTTCCCAGCTCTGCTCTCCAGCCTCTCATTCCCAGCCTGTCCATCCGTCCAGGACTGCCCCATCCCGGGGCAGAATCTGGCCCTTGTCTTTGTTAAACTTCCCATGGTTGGTGATTCCCAGCCCTCTGACTTGTCAGGGTCTCTCTGCAGGCCCTCCCTGCCTTCCAGGGAGTCAACAGGTCCTCCCAGTTTTGGGCATATGAGTTGCAATTTTAAATGTCTGTTACATTTTAAAAATAATTCCTCAGTAATTATGCAAAGAGAAGATATTTGTCCTTCGTGTTTCTTACAGACAGTGGAAATTGGAACATTTGTGTTACAAATCAGGAGAACTCATCACAGAAGCAGGTTACATGGACCAGGTATGTGTAGCAGGCATTCAGTTACAAGGTTTGTGCATTTTCATGGTTCAGCTTGTGCTGCTTTGATTATATTCCAGTGTGACTGTGTTTTTCCCCTTTCTGATTTTGACAGATCATAGAATACCTTTATCCTTGTTTAATTATCACTCCTTTGGACTGCTTCTGGGAAGGAGCAAAGCTACAATCAGGAACTGCCTATCTATTGTAAGCATGCTTTTTTATAGCTTTCTGGTCTGACTGTTTTTAATTGTATAACTCTCTACGACTTTTCATTTGCACTCCCATTGTTTATTCAGACTCCTATATAACAAGAAAAAAGTATAAATGTAGTGTCTCCATGGAAAGTGCACACGGATTTTATTTTAATTTAACAAAGATTTTCATTGTTTCTTAGAGATGATTTGTAAGCCTCAGTTTAAATCCTCTGTTATTTTTCCTGTTCTGCTAGCATGAAAAATAAAAATGTAAATTCTGTATTGAAGTTCTAAGAATTTTATGTTTTGCTTTTTTTTTTTTTCCCTGAAACAAACTTGTTTCTGGTGTGTTGTTGTTTTTTTTTTCAACACAAAACACAAAAACATTGATTGGCTGGAAATTTTAGACCTAAGAAAGTGTCTTGGGTTAATTCTCAAGTGTTCCTAAGGAATAAAGGACAAATCCTTTGCTTATGAGATCATTAAAGAAACCATATAGTATCTTTTATGGATGGTTTCTCACAGTTTACAAGTGTGATATTATATGCCCTGAATTCTTTAAAGAGTTAATTGTTAATCTGTGCAGGCATTTTCTGTTAATTATGCAAGAGTTAGCATTTGAGTTATTGTTTCTGTGCTGGTTTGCATGTCTCTGCAAAAGCAATTTGCAATGGCCATCTCCTAACCTTTAGTGTACAGTTTTAGATGGGGAAATAAGGGGGTTTGTGTTTTCTGGTTGGGAGATTCGGAATAATGACTTAAGCCTGGTTAAGCAGATACAGTGTGGTTTGAAGCACAGAATAAGGCAGTCAAAAGCCTTTCTAGTCTGTCAACATCACAAATTCAGAAGTGGGGGGTGGGAGACGTGACAGTGATAGTGGTGACAGCCATGGTTGCAGGAAAGCCTGGTTGATAGTCAAGCTGCCAGGGCATTTGAAGGAGCACAGTATTGTTATAGATAAACAAAGATCAGTTATATTGATTGATTACATTTCCAAGATGATTATTAGACTAGCAAGAAGTAATCTGATACTATGAGAAAGGCTTTCTTTCTTCAGCCCCCTCTCTTCTCTCCCTCTCCCCTCCCCCTTAATTCTTTGAAGCAGCAGTTGGCTGCTTTTTTTGTTATTTAGGTGGTTGATGATTTGTTTTACTTTGTTTGTAAATGGAAATATTTTTAACCTGTGAATATTCTGTTTCATAAGATAACTTTGTAAGAACTGAGTATTTTTGTTAAAATTACAACTGGGCTGCAAGAAAACTACATAAGCAAATCTAATTAAAACATGCTTTACATTTTATGAAACAGCCTTACTAGAAAACTTTTAACTTTTAGCATAAAGTAAGTTAGTTATTTGTTCAAATATGAATTTTAAAAGTATGCTTATTTCAGTACTTCTTTTGTCTTTTTTCTATGTGTCTTTTTCTCCTGGTTGCTCTTGCAGAGGGAAGCCTCCTTTGCAGTGGATCAACTTTGACCCCTTAGAATTCTTGGAAGAGTTAAAGAAAATAAACTACCAAGTGGAGAGCTGGGAAGAAATGCTGAATAAAGCGGAGGTTGGTCATGGTTATATGGATCGACCCTGCCTGAATCCTGCTGATCCCGATTGCCCAATCACAGCTCCCAATAAAAATTCCACCAAAGTAAGTCTGCTTGTCCTTGTACATGTCTTTTCAAGGGAGGGCTGGGGGGTGGGGAGGGGTGGGGGGGAAGGTCAGGCAGAATAGAAAAAAGTACCATTTTCTTCCAAGCAATATATAGTTCTTATTCTTGAGTGATGTCATTTTTCTGTGCCCGTTAGGTGCTGTTAGCTCTCAGTGGTGGACTTTTCCTTGTTCTGTGATGCAGTGCTTAATGCTGAGTATTTAAAGTACAGTTGTCAGCTCTCCTCTGGCTGTGGAGATGTGGCATTCAGCAAACCAGGTGCCTCAGGCAGACAATGGCCATGCTGGGACACAGCTGCCCCTGCTCACCACGCAGCCAAGCCTGCCCTCCAGGGCAGCCAGTCCTGCTTATTTTCCTGACAAATTTGGGCCTCAAATCTATAATATATCCCTTTATCAGTCACATTGGGCCTTGCAGAAATTGCCATTTGCTCCACGAGTATCTGGGTGGTTTGTTCAACTTGATTTCTTGAATGCATTTCTTCTAGTAGACTGCCTAGATTGTCTTTAATATCCATTATTCTCGTTCACTGGGTGCTGACTTAAGGTATGAGTTTGTCTAAAATTATGAAACAAATTAATTGCTTCCTTATAACTTTTTCTAGCCTCTTGATGTAGCCCTTGTTTTGAGTGGTGGATGCTATGGACTGTCAAGAAAATACATGCATTGGCAGGAGGAGCTGATTATAGGTGGTACAATCAAGAACAGCTCTGGTAAACTTGTCAGGTAAAAAAATGTTTAAAGAAGAAGTTTTAGTTTGTTAAGAGTTTGTTTTTTGGGGCACAGTGGGAGGATCATGCAAAGTCTGCTGCCCTTCACGTGTATTACAAATCTCACTTAAAGAGGGATGTGACCCTCTAAAGAGAACAGAATTTAAAAGAATGCTTAGGAAGTTGTTTAAATTTAAGGCAGCATCATTGCTTCCTACTTCTAACCTCAGAGTGATAGTGTATGTCTCTCAGGAAGAAGGCTTCTTACTGGCAACTTTGTTGTTTAGAATGTATTTATAAAGCATTAAATGGTTTTTACAGCACTGAACACCTTCAAGGAAAAAGGGAAAAAAATAGTTTGAGCAGGGTGCTCACTCATTTGACTTCTCTCAGAATTCCAAGATCTCCAATGAATTCGTTTGGAATAAATATAGAGAAAAGTCTATTTTTATGTTCCTGTATTGTGAATACAGCTTTGGGTGGTGAAACAAACCCTTTTGTTTTAAACTTCTGAATGAGGACGTGACACACTGGACTTCAGTGGGGGAAGAAACCTGTGAATTTGAACTGTTCTGAAAAATGTAGGCCATACTAAGCTAAATGAAGCATAATTCTTCCAGATAACTTTTAGTATGAATTTTGACCTTTTAACATTCACTCTAAACACTGGTTTGTTTTTCTATAAGTAGCCAAATAATGTGTTTTTAGTGAAAAATAAAGTAGTTCCTTAAGCTTCTAAAATGGTTGGATACAGTTGCATACTGTGGAAAGTCAGGGTGGATAGTTGTTGCCCTTGTGTTCTCCACGCAGCTTGTCAGGCATGAGGAGTCTGACATTTCTCTCCAAGGGTTGAAAAGGACTAAGGTCATCAAATGACATTTTGCCAACAGCATTTCCAAGATCTCATAGAAATAACTGTTCTGGTGGTATCCTCACAGTAATGTGTCTTATCAGTCATAATCTTTATAATTTGTAGGGTTCTGATTTTGTAGGGTTCCGTTCTTTGTTCCTGAAACTGAACCTGTTGCAAACAGTGGCAAAACTCACATTAATTTCAGTGAAACCAGATTTAGCCTCAATACTTGCATAGAGCAGTACAGCTGCACCAGGGACACGATAGAATAATTATATATTCTGTTCAATTTTGGTACAGGCATGTGCCCTATGAAATCAAGAACTCGTGCAAACTCCTGTTAGGGTTGCATTTGGGACTTCATGCTATGAAAATATTTTCCTGAAAATGCTCATTTTATGCCTCATTCTCCTGTATTTTCTCTCTATGTCACAGTGCCCAGGCTTTGCAAACCATGTTTCAGTTAATGACTCCTAAGCAAATGTATGAGCACTTCAAGGGGTATGAATATGTTTCACATATCAACTGGAATGAGGATAAGGCAGCAGCAATTCTGGAAGCCTGGCAGAGGATGTATGTTGAGGTAAATTTGAAGATAACCTAAATACCATACTATGAAGTTCTACTAAGATCCTCTGCCTTCTGTCACATCTTTTTACAGTATTTCTTGAAGGAAGATGCTTAAACCAGAACCAAACCATTGCCCCCCTATTATTAAGGGTTCTTTTGGGGTTTTATTGTTTCTGGGGGTTTTTTTCCCATCAGAAGCTGCTTGGTTGTTCCCATATGAGAAACCATGGAGGTTTTGCTCTTTGCTGTCTGGGACATTTTTGGCTTTGTTGGGGCTGAGGAGAAACCTAAGAGCTGGCTGGAGTTTAAAAGCTTTTGGTTGGCATGGTTATTCTAAAGGTGTCTGGAAAACATTACCCAGCCCTGGGCAGCTCTTTGAGCAGCAGCCCAGGTGGGGAGGCTGTGTGACAATGCCCTGCTGACCTCTGCAATGGCCAGGCAGGGAGGGCAGGGACACTGCTGGCCTGGGGTAAAGGCAGAGCTGGTGTTGCATGGTGGGGCTGTGGGAAGGAAGGGATTCAAGGGGAATGTTTCTGATGGGCTGGGAATGCAGGAGCCTTTCCTGAAGTGTGCAGATTCTGGTCTCACAGGGCACACTTGTGTAGCACCAGGGGTAGTCTCTGCCTGGGGTGTGGGCTTTCACTGGGGCATCAAGGCAAAAGGAGGTGATTTCAGATGTGTGCTGAAGAAGATGCTAATGGTTTCTTTTGACTAAGAGACTAAAAGAAAACATTTTCTTCAGTCACACCGAGTTTTATTTTTGTTTTCTTAGGTTGTTCATCAAAGTGTTGCACAGAACTCTACCCAGAAGGTGCTTTCCTTTACTACAACCACCCTGGATGACATCCTGAAGTCATTTTCTGATGTCAGTGCTATCAGAGTAGCTAGTGGCTACTTATTAATGGTAATAAAATAAATTTATTTCATTTTCTTTGGTAGTAGAGCAGGGCTTAAAAATCTGCTTTATTGTTACCAGAGAATAGTCTAGAACATTATACATATATTTAAAATAAAAACTAGTTTGTAAACTTTCCCTCAGGCGTGTCACCTGTTCCACTTGGTAACCTCTGCATTCTGTTCTGATTAAAAATGCGTGTAAGCATCTGTATGTTGGGTGGGGAGAGAGCTGTTAGAGAAGGATCCATTCTAATATTTTGGGTTTTTCCTCCAAACTCCCCTCCCTGCTCCTCTCCTCAGCTTGCCTATGCCTGTTTGACGATGCTGCGGTGGGACTGTGCCAAGTCTCAGGGTGCTGTGGGGCTGGCAGGAGTCCTCTTGGTTGCACTCTCAGTGGCTGCAGGATTGGGCCTGTGCTCATTGATTGGAATTTCCTTTAATGCTGCCACAACTCAGGTATTTAGAAGACACAAGTCTGCTGTTGAATTACAGGCACGCTGTTAATAAACGAACACAACTGAATCTTTGAGGGGGAAAAAAGCTGAAAAAATATTTTGACTGTACATTTTTGCTTGTGCCTTTTTCCTATCTCGTGGCCTGCGCTGTGATGAATTAAATGATCATGCTACCAAGTGATGTTAAAGAAAAAAAACAGTATTATGTAGTCTGTATAGTTGATAGGTTCTGGGTTGTTTGATTTTTTTTTTTTCTGTGTCCCAATACCAGTGGAGGCATCCACTTGTATGTAAGGAGCTGCAGATCTGTTTTTACATCTGAATATATCAAGATGTTCAAATTCTGAAAATATTTTGAATATAACTCAAAGTGATATCAGGTATTTTTTGACTGAACAAAACTTGAACTACTTTTGGTGAGATTTTGTACCTGTAAATGGTACAAAAGTTTAAGTTCCTCAGCAATATTCCAGAAGAAGGGTTAATACCTGTATTGCATCTTTTTGATTTTCATTTTACCCTTGTGTTTGCGTGCAGTGTAATGTAAAAGTTGTTGTAATTAGCCACTTAATGGAGAGCTGCGTGGCAGATGATAAAAAATCTTCTTGGTTTTTGTTTTGTTTTGTTTCTCACTCAAGGTTTTGCCTTTTCTTGCTCTTGGAGTTGGTGTAGACGATGTTTTCCTTCTGGCACATGCATTTAGTGAAACAGGACAGAATAAGAGAATTCCATTCGAGGTAATGACAAAATGGGGATTTGGGGGAAGATAAAATAAAAGGCTTCATCTAGGAAAAGATAACCATATACAGAATTAATCAGTAGAGGGTTTTTTCCTCAATAGCTTTTTCTACGGTCTAGAAATTCCTATTTTTGTCAAAATAGGAAATTATAACAGTACATGTGGCCCTGGAGTGTTTTGGAATGCTCACATTCACGAATTATTTTGTATATCTTTCTCTTAGTTTCATTTTCTGATGGTTATAATTGACCATGACTTCTAAAAGGAAATCTAAGGTGTCATCACTTTTATGATCCCTTAAAAGTAAAGTCTTTTTAGTCTCAGTCCAAAGTTTCATATCCGAAGTACAACCCAATTAAAACTTATGTATATTTGCTGATTCTGTTTCATACAAGCAATGTCTTCCATTTCTTTCCAGCTGGTTGGGCATGCAGACAACTGCAGCCTCACTATACTGTAACCTCTGTGTGCTTCATAATAGCCTGTTAGTTGGGAAAGGATCATGTATTTATCCTGATTTCTCTGTGGTTTTCTGTGTGTGGTCCCTGGGCTTCGGGTTGTTCTTTTTGTTTGTTACATACCTTTTCAAGATGTGTAGCTGTTACACCTCTGTGCTGTTAATACATGCTTATTTTGTCTGAAAAGTGAGAATACCGAGTGATTCCACTGGTAAAAATTACATCCTGCTTAATTACAGATGTATTTTGATATAATGTCAGTACCCATTTTGTTTTGTGTTCTGAAGCTAGAATCAACTCTGGTAATGTTTTCTACCCAGATGCACTTCATGTGTCATCTGTGTTTCTCCTGAACAGTATACTTAGTGTATAGTTTATTCTCACATACTTTCAATTGCAAACTTGTATTCAGAATTTGAGTGTAATCATTTTTCACTGCTACTGTATTACATCTGTAGGATGACCCCTTCATTTGCAGGATATCGCCTTGTTCACTTGACTTTTAAGACCTGTGTTTTGTTTTGCAGGACAGAACGGGTGAATGTTTGAAGCGAACAGGAGCCAGTGTAGCCCTTACATCTATCAGCAATGTTACTGCCTTCTTTATGGCTGCCTTAATCCCTATTCCTGCTTTACGAGCATTTTCACTTCAAGTAAGTTTATATCCTGTTTTGTTAGCTCTGGTGGCAGTCCAGTGATGATACATGTTAGTGATAAAGTCTGGTTTGGGTGCTGCTGCAGTTCACTGAACCAGGGCATTATTGTAGTTTACCACAGATCTGGGTCATAACAACTGCTGCCTACCCTTGATTCTGCTGCTCTCTTTTCTCATGCATGGAGTCTCTCACAAAAGCCAAGGTGTATGCAACTAAGCAGAAAAAGTCTCCAAAAGTATTTGGGTTCTAAAGTCAAGAGGAGTAAACTGTAGTGTGGTGTGTACTGTAACATTCCTCAGTAGTAATTTAATCCTTTCATTCATGTTTGTCCAATTTGCTGCTCTTAAAAGCTACAACCACAGTGCAATGGCAGCAGCAAATATGCATGTGCCATATTAATTATTACTGCAGCAGTTTTTACTGCCTTCCTCCCAGTGTAATTTTAGCAAACTTGGAGAAAACTACAAGAATATTATGTTCCAGCTGCATAGAGAGAAAACATGAATTTTATGTGCTGAACTTGCTCTTCCTTTCTCTGTCTTCTTGTATTTGTTTGTGATTATATACCTTCAGGAATGTCAAATATTAAGGATGTTGGAGAAAGATCTTTTCTAAAAGTGAGGATTCTTTGAAGGAAGCTTTGGGAGTTTCTCCCTGACACAAGCAGTTTATAGCACTGTAGTTATTTTTCTTCTGCTGTAGCTTGGTTCTCCAGTCGTTTCTCATTCTCATTGAGCCCATGGCTACTGAGAGAAAGCAAGGCTTCCATTTTTCTTAATACATGTGGCAGTTATTGCTGTTTTCAGAGATTTAAGTATGCCTGTGTTAAGCTGTAAAATGGTAAATTGTTTGTGATTGCAGTTATGTTACAAATAAGCAGTAATAGTTTGTTTGCATTTCCTTCTCAGTAGGCAGCTGGGGAGTGAATAATAAAGTAAAGACCTCGTTGGTTTTCTGCATCATTTAGAGGATATCTGTGGCAACTAAAACTAGATATTTAGTCTCGAATGGTTAGCAGTGTTTAGCTCTACTGATTTGCCAAAACCTAGATGTCTCTTCATACAGATCATATGATAATGAATTGTTTTACTTTATAGAATCACAGAATAGTTTGAGTTGGAACAGACTTTTTAAAGGTCATCTAGTCCAACCCTCACCTCCCCCAGCCCCATGGGCTGGGACATCTTCAACTAAACTTCTCTGGGCAACCTCTTCCAGTGTTTTACTGCCCTAATGTAAAAAAACCCTTCTTCCTAATATCTAATCTAAACCTACCATTGGAGGTCATCAAACTTGTAGTGCCTGTGCTTTACAGAAGTTACCTCAGCCTAAATGCATCTCATAAGAGATATTCGGCAGAGATGGGCCATTTTATTGTAATCACACTGCTGTAATCACACTGCTGTAATCACACTGCTGTAATCACACTGCTGTAATCACACTGTCACCAAAATGAATTCTTACCTGATTAGATTTTGCTTGGGTTTTTTCTGTTCTCACTCTTCATATCAGAACATGACAGGTTGCCTTTGGAACATACATGGAGATAACAGCTGTAGTTGTTGCTGTTATCAGTATAAGTTAAATACACCTTTCCTGGAGTCATTGCTTTTTGCCTACTGCTGTGCTGTAGACTGAGTGACTGAAAGTTTAAAAATAAAGTATGCATAGCAAAATGATAAAAAAAAATGTTTCCAGTGAGATTTTAACATATTACTGTATGAATGTGTTGATATTATTCAGGATAAAAACATCATGATCAAAGTCTTTTGAAGGCAGTGATTAATATGGAATTTATGTGTAGGAACCCAAATGGGTGTCTAGAAATTAGTGTTTGAATTGCTCAGTCTTTTCTCACTTGGTAATTTGTGTTTGCTTTCACATAGTGACCCCTTATATGTATAGAGGAATGAAAAGAAGAACAGTGAGGGAGACCTGTAATGATTTTTTTTATTGATGCCAGAGTAACGTGTACGACTGACACACATAAGTTAACAACCACTAAAATGAAATCCTTTGTTCTTAGAAAGGAACATCTATTACTTGCTTTGCCCAGCTTCACCAGGTAAAATCAAAATCAGGTGATACTTTAATCACAGTACTCAGAACTGGAGAACCATGGCAGCTTTGATGGGTGGTCTGTACTCATATACGGATTTCTTTATTTACAGTCTCCTTCCTCCCTCTCCCTCAGTCTTGTTTAAACAAGAAGTCCTTGCCATCTTTGATAGTTCCCTAGCAAAACTTAAAAAGCAATGAAGTACTGCATACACTTTTCACAGATTCTGCCATCTTATCATCTAGATAGTGAATTTTTAAGACGTGGGCTTAAAAAAAAGGGTTGTTCTTGACATTGTTTTGCTTTTCATTCACTTTTCTTAAGACATTGCAGGTAATTGTCAAAGTTTCTGTAACTTTGGAGGCCCAGTATTGGTAAAATAACCTGTCTGCTGAGGGAGAATAAATGGTTTCCTGCATCTGCAACCCCAGCTTCTAGTTTGAAACTCATGTTTTGCATATCAGTGCTTTCTCCTGTCTCAATTCTGTCCTCTTCTGCCAGCTAAAGTAGTTCATTGATACCTCTGAGTTGTTCATTTACTTTATGGAACTCAAACACTGCAAGTCTGATGTTGTCTTAAGAGTTTGCTAGGGTTAGCTCTTTCCAAGATCTAAAAAATGGAATTCAGTCCTTTTAAAAGTGAGATTATTTTAAAGTTAACTACATTACGCAGGTAAGGACTGTTTCAGCTCTTTCAGTGTTTTAATTTCTCCTTTTTTTTTTTCACTTGTTGATTTTATTAGCTCCTTATTCAAGCAGTTTTAGGGCTTTGAGATTGCTGAATATGACCCAAATACTCGATAAGAAGAATCACCTATAAGACTACTCAGGACGTTGAAGGACTGGATCTGAGTTTTCAGATGTGTTTCATTTCTTAAAATTGTGGGGAAGGAAGAGATTATCAGAGAAATCCACTGAAAGTTTTGAAGTTTGCAGTAGGGATGCCTTAAACATAGCCCTTTGTTTGAGTATAAATGAAGGAAGGCAAGGCAGAGTGTAACTGGACTGGGCTGTATTCTTTTCTAAGACAGACTAGTCAGACACTGTCATACAGATAAGGTACAAAAATTCATCCACCTCTTCTTGGTTCCACCAGAAGCTTCCTCCCCTAGCAGCAGAAGAGTGGTGTGGATCCACTAATCAGCAGGGTGGAGCTTCTCCCAGTAAGTCTTAGCAGTAACTTTTTCCCTCACCATAAGAGTGACAGGTTTTTTTTCTAAATGTAAAAGTGCATTACCAGATGGTGGTGGTGGGTTTATGGAGAGAAAGAATGTGTGTTTTTAAGCTCATTCGATTATCTTACTCTGGTTTGTCCCCTGCCTTTTACCCACATCATTTACCTTTCCTGCCCCTGACATGAGAATTTAACAAGCAAAATTAAAGCCTAAGGGAAGAGAGGGCAGGGAGGGGCGAGGATCCGGGTCTGTACCCTGTCAGGAAGGAGTTGCAGATAGAGAGCAGTAGGGTGGAAGTTCCCCTGACAGCCCTCCTCCTCTGTTCATCACCTCTGGCTATGCAGCACACCCGCTCTCCTTGGGTGGGCTGCCAGGAATGGCACATAGCAGCACATACCTTCAGCAGGGCCCCAGCACATACCTACCAGCCTGGCTCCCTGCTCCCTCTCTGCCTCCAGCACAGACTACCATTCTTCAGTCTCTGTTAGCAGTTGCAGCAGCAATAATATTTTTAGGCTGTGCATTATGAAAAGATGCGAAAACCGTAGCATGTTTCTCAGGAAGTGACCAACATATTTTTTTCTGATTAATGGGATTTTTTTTACTGCTCTCTGATCTAATTTCACTGAATGCCTTCATTTTACACCCTTGAGTAGGCTCCATTTTATCCCTTCTAGGACTGTTTTACCTTTGCTAGTTTCTCAAGTAAAAGGTTTGGGGCCCTTTCCTCTCTCATTTAACCGCTGATCTCTGAAGAGGTGAGAGAAGATGCCCTGTCCCCAGAAATCCTAAAGGTGCTTTCAGCCTGCGTGCTGCCTGTGCTCTGGAAGCTCTGCTGCCACCGTTTGTTGTTGCTTTTCCAGGCTGTGGCTGTTGCCATGATTGCATTTCCCGGGCACTGCCACCCACCAGTGTCTGAGCAGTGGCAGATGCACCAGGTCGGGGACTGAGTCACTCCTCAGCAATGCTTCCTTCCCTCTCCTTATCGAGTCACAGGGTGTTCTTTGAGGGGACAAGAGATTAGAATTCATAAAAGAGCAAAGTTTTCTGTATTTATTTGTGAAAACTGAAGACTGTTACATCCCTGTAATGCAGCAGAGGTGGGCAGAGAAAGAGAGTGTGCAGCACACAGGCAGTGTGGTGTTTAGCTCTGGGAATCCAAGTACAAATCAGAACAGAGATTGGTTTGAAATATTATCCTTGCAGAGCAGTTAGGACATCAGCACTGGGATGGCACAATGGAAAATCTAGTTGTTCTAAAAAGAGATTCCATGTAAGTTACTGTGTGTTATTGGGTTAGTTTTGATGCTTCTTAAAAAAATCAAATGTCAGTATAACTAACTTTAATGGCATCTCAGCCACACACACTTAAGTATTAGTTTTCAGATTTAGTAACATTGGAGATTCAAGGATGTTAGTGTCTACAAAGGGAACTGATATGGCATGGAGTATTTGCAGTTTATGGAGCAGAAACAGAGGACTTCTGTTAGTTTTTCAACCATGCTGGGAGGAGTAAGAACTGTTGAGTCAGACCTCAGCTGTTTTTTCCAAATCTCAATAAATTGTAGCTGATCCTTGATACAAGATCTTGGTTAGGCACAACTGATTATTCATGTTATATGGATGATTCAACCTTTTTTTGGTTTAGCAGCAGTTGCATGAACTAGGTCCAACAAACACCTTTCTTGCAACAGCAGCCATTTGTTTTTCTGGCAGATTGAATTAATTCTAGAGAGGATCAAAAGCAAATCACTTAATTTTAGTCTTGGCTATGACCTTACATACCTTTCTCTGTGAATATTTATAAATCATTAAATAGTCATTTGATCTTTTCTCACAAAGATGGCTAAATACTAATTCGGCTTTAAGTACCAGGTAAATTCTGTTTTAATAGCTGTCTACAGACAAGCAGCAGGACTCTAAAATCTTACTTCAAGCAGGCTGGAGACAAGAAACAAGAAATACCAGTAAACCCCACTTTCATATAGAATATATTTATGATTGAATTTACTAGAAAATATTTACATAATTAGTTGATTCTGCCATTTTCAGATCAGTAAAAATAGTATCTAAGTCTTTTATTATACACTGACAGCTTCAAAACTGTAAAAATAATTCAGTGTGTTATTATCTTGATTTTTCACAGATAAATTTAAGCAACTTATGTCATTTAATTGTCACATAAGTCAAAAATTTTAAAACATGGATTTTGGATATCACATCTTTTGTACTGCCACTTTTGAGGTCTGATTTTTCAAGATCAAAAGAAACCATTCATCTCTTTGGGGAAAAAAAGAGGTCACATTTATATCAGGTCATTTTTGTAGCCCCACTTGTGTTCTTTTCTATGACCATTTTAGCCCAAGCAGTTATTACTTCAGAAGTTGCAGGTGGAGACACTTGATAGTTTATTTATAGACTACCTTAACATGAAACTGGGCTACTGCTGAGATGGTTGCTGCTTATCTAATGGATAAAATACAGGGCTTTCAAGGTTTTTCCCACTGGTTGATGGCTCAACCATTTTTTTTCCCAGTGTTTCTCCTACTCTTATAACTATCTTCCAGTTCCATCTGTGCCAGGCTTTCCCTTTGTGATGGCCAGTGCTCCTAACAATTCTGCATTACAAATAAATGCTATCAATAATAATGATAGATGCTGCACCACATATGTTCATGGAAATTCTCTGGGAATCTCTGTGTGGGAAAGGGTTTGAAGTATGGTTTGAAAGGGGGTGGGCGGGGAGGTTGTTTTTTTCATTATGTGATACTCGCTTTACAAATTAAACCAAGTATTCTTGTTCCAATTTAAGAGTCATTTTGGTAGACTGGCTCATAAATCAAGCTCTGTTAAACACGAGCATATTAATACATAGATTTATTATGTGGTGTTGGTTTAATTTTGATTTTCCTTTAAAAAGAATCCCCGATAAACTCAAAATGTTGCTCTTTTTTGGCTAGACTTTTAAGTACAGCAAGTGCATAGTATTTTACTAAATAGATCCATTTCATTAAAATTTACTTGAACTTACATTTCTGCTTTAGTAACATCCTTTGATGTTATTGTCATGCTTAAATTACTTCAGATCCCTTAAATATGAGAATTTCAGTTCTAATGCCAGTTTTGCTTTTGCTTCCGTCTTATGGGAATGTAAAAATATATCACCCAGTTTGCTCAGGGAAAAGCTTGAAGTGGTAGATCGGTGAATGGATGAAAATTTAAAGCAATCTTTATGCTTTGTAAAGCTGATGGCCTGACATGAAGTTTAGCAACATCATTTCTCCTGTGGTTGTCTCCAGGCAGCAGTTGTCGTGGTGTTCAACTTTGCCATGGTCCTGTTGATTTTCCCTGCCATCCTGAGCATGGATCTCTATCGTCGGGAGGACAGGAGACTGGACATATTCTGCTGTTTCACGAGGTGAGAATGAGCAGCAGGTTGATGTGTGTCTGTTTTGTGGTCACCAGTCAGGGCTTCAGTTCCTCCTCAGGAGTGGAAGTTCTTCACTGGAGTGGGGTCATCACGTTTTTATGATTTCTTTGCTAGTGACTGACTTACCTTTGCTACCTTGGTTTTTGCCTGCCTGAGGGGAAAAGGTAAAATACATGTCTCCCTTTACCTCTCTTCCCCCACTTCTCCTTCCCCCTGCACTTTTCCCTTCATTCGTACATGTGTTCATTTTGGCTGTTGGAGAACAACTCTTTGAAAGCGGATAAAAGCTCCATGATTTAGGAATATCTTCAGGTATTTTTAAAATGTTATGAGATACTGCAAGGTGTCCAGTGCCAGTACTGGGCAGTCTTGGAAAACTGTACATAACTCAGGACACAGAGAAGTCTCACTTACAGTAAATCATTATGTGCTAATTTTTACACTTTTATTCCTTTAAACCCAAATAAATAAACTGTAAAGTGACTTCCCCTTAGCTGAGTTTTTCATGGAACTATAAGGAATGATCAATACCATTACAAGATAATGCTTGATAAAGTTATGGCTGCAATATTAATTTAGAATAGTAATACTGCCATTCTGAAGAGTGTATAAATGTACTCTTACCTGATGCACAGCCAGCTCTGAGCCTACAGTGGGGCTAGGAGGAGCCTGCTGTCATCAGTGAAGCCACTGCTTAGAAATTAAACATCTTTTCTGCCTTAGATTTTGCTTTTGACTCTAATGAAGAGGATCAGCTACATTTCTACACGTGTACTCTTACTGTCCATAACCAGGATGTGGAGAATCCACCACGTGTCCTCTTAGCCTTTTACATGCATCTGGGAGCTGACAGTTTGATATTTCACTATCAAAGGAAGAAAGCACTTTACTAAATTTGCTTCTGAGTGAGTGGGTAGAATAGGGAGTTGATCCCCCAGGACTCCTACTTTCTGTTTCTGATTCAGTCGTAGTTTCAGCAGATTACCTGATGTATTAGTGTCTTGGATCCCTGATTCTGAGAAATACAGGGCAGTCAGACCTGCCATTTATTTATTCCCTCATCTAAAGCTGCTCCAAATGTGTATCAGAATTCAGCCCATTTGCACATGAAGAAATGCAGTTAGTGAGAGCTTGCTTTGTTTAGGTAGGCAGCATTCTGAATTCCTCTTGTTTTTGTGGGATTTGTCCACTTGGTGAAGAATACTTGATACTGTTTACTATTATCCATTTGTCATTTCTGATGTGCAGGAAGAGGTTTGTCTCTGATAATTGGGGTTTTTTTTAATATAAACTAGGTACCTGTTAGGGTCTTGCATAGACTAAAATAAAGGGAATACTTCAATTATGCCTGCGATTTTGTCTCTTCATATTGCCTACCCTTCCTAGGAATGAATCATCATATTAATTTTTTAATATTTTCTTGAATTATAAAAGATTCAGTCAGTGTATGGCGAGTGGTTTCAGCCTGCCTCCTGGAAGTCTGAGATCTTATCCAGAAAGCCTGAATATTATTTAACAGTTACTTCAGTAGTTCTAAACAGAAGATCTAAGTATGTCATGTTTTTACCTCTTGGTGCAAATATCCTAATTCTCAGCGTGGGTACATAGGTGCAAACTCACTGTGCTTTCGGACTGTGTGCAGCTGCCTGGGTAGTTACCTGATTAGCATGTGTAATTAATGAATAGCGTGTGTAATTAATGGAGTGTGGTGTGTAGATGTCAGTGTCTTCAGACAGATGCTGTTTCCTTCTTTCCAGAGCACAAGAAATGTGCACATATTATATTATCAAAGGCCTACACACTGAACCATGTCTGAGAGGTGTCTCCTGAAGTTGCAGAATAAAATTAACATCTGAGCGTTACATCATGTCCAGGCTCTGTGAACGAAGATTTGGGAAGGGCTCTGCCCACGTTTGTTACAAACACGCTGGTGGCTAAAAAGGCCAATATGAGACAGACACGTCCTGTTGCAAAAGGCACAGCAGAAAGACTCCTTAGGTGGGAAATTCTGCAAGACACGATTCTTTCTGTGTTGTCTTTTCTCCTCAAGGGTGATCCTGCTGCCTTCTCAAAGGCATCAGCAGCGTTAGAGATGGGGTGTCTCCAGAGCTCCCGATTGGAGGCCAGAGTAGACCAGTTCTGTTGATCAATATGGCCAAGGCTGAGATGTTGTTTCAGGCAGTCCTTGTATCTCCTCTTTGGGGCTCCTCTCTTGCAGCAGCCGGTGGCAAGTTCACCATAGAGCAAGATCTTAGGGAGGGGGTGGTTGGTCCTTCATCCTGGAGACGTGCCCTGCCCAGCCCAGCTGTGTTCTCAGCAACATGGCCTCAATACCTGTGACTGCTGCCTGTTCTAGAACAGATGGATTGGTCACATCATCTGACCAGTGGATGTTCAGGATTGTTCGGAGGCAGCGTTGATGGAAGCGTTCCAGGAGTCGCAGGTGGTGGCAGTAGATGACCCATGATTCAGATCCCTATAAGAGAGTAGACAGCACTGTGGCTCTGTAAACACCATCCAACGCAGTAGAAGCAGTCTCAGGTGAAGGCGTGTTATCCAGTCTACTGTGACTGAAATAAAGACCCGTCGAAATGCAATCAGATGTTTTTCTCTTCTCTTGCAGCCCGTGTGTCACCAGGGTGATCCAGATTGAGCCCCAGGTGTATGCGGAGAGTGACAGCGCTTGCTACAGCCCCCCACCCCCCTACAGCAGCCACAGCTTTGCCCATGAGACCCAGATCACGATGCAGTCCACGGTGCAACTGCGCACCGAGTACGACCCCCACACGCAGGTGTTCTACACCACCGCAGAGCCCCGCTCCGAGATATCCGTGCAGCCCGTGACAGTGGCACAGGACAACCTGAGCTGCCAGAGCCCAGAGAGCACCAGCTCGACGAGGGATTTGCTCTCCCAATTCCCAGACTCCGGCGTGCATTGTCTGGAGCCGCCCTGTACCAAGTGGACACTCTCGTCCTTTGCAGAGAAGCATTATGCTCCCTTCCTCCTGAAACCAAAAGCTAAGGTAGATTTTGTTTTTAGGGAACTATTCACCCGTTTTCCAAACATTGTCTTCTGGCAGTAGTATTAAATATAAGGAATAAATACAATTCTTGTGGAATAACAGTTCTTAATAATTTTACAGCTGATTTCTTACTTTAAGTAAGTACTGTAGAGACATACTTTTAGAATGTATACTTTTAGAATGTAGGTATGAGTGAGGGTTTTGGTGTCTTTTAGTAATGTAAGCTTGTGAATAAGGAAATTAAAGCCGCTTTTAAACTTTACTGCAATATAAATTTCTCATCTGTGATTCAGAGCCCCTTCAATGAAGCTCAGATCAGCTTAGTCTTGTAGTATGTATGTGTAAGGAAAAAAAGGACGGAAGAAAGAAAAGCTTGAAAGTAGACTGATGGATGTTAATTTTGAACCTGGCTTTGTAGTGTGACACTATGAATTGTTAGTTGCTTTAGAAACCTAAACCAAAAACCATTTCCATTTTCTGTTGCAGATTGTGGTTATTTTTCTTTTTCTGGGTTTACTTGGGCTCAGCCTTTATGGAACTACCCGGGTGAGAGATGGACTAGATCTCACAGACATTGTACCACGGGAGACACGGGAATATGACTTTATTGCTGCACAATTCAAGTACTTCTCATTCTACAACATGTATATTGTGACACAGAAAGCAGACTATCCAAATGTCCAGCACTTACTTTATGAACTTCACAGAAGTTTCAGCAACGTGACATATGTTTTGTTGGAAGAGGACAGGCAGCTCCCCAAAATGTGGTTGCACTACTTTCGAGACTGGCTGCAAGGTAAGGGAGTGTTACACAAACTTTTCTTAGCTGGGCAGAAGTAAGTGTTGCTCACCCTGGTGTTGCTGCCTTCTTCAGGCGGGGTCACACAGCTGAAGGCTGGGGGAGGATGCCTGAGTGCTGCTCCAAAATCACACGGGGCCTTGCTGTTCCTCCAGCAGGTCACTTAAACACAAAGAATTTATGTTTACTCCCTAGTAAGACAGTTTTGAAGCTTTAAGTGGTTATATCCATGCCAATAATTTCTGAGCAGCTAATGAGGGGTTCTGCATTTGGCCATTATAATTAATGACCAGATATGGCTCACTGTCTTGGGTAAATAAATGTTTTGCTGAGTGTTTTCAGAACAGTAAATGAAAAGTCCCAGGCTTCACTTTCAGCTCTTGAGTGATGCTGTTGGCTTCGTCTGGGACTGCTGGCATGAAGACAATTCAGTGTGGCCTATGTGTTTTATTGGATTGGAAACTTACTGCATGTTCTAGATTTCCAGTCAAGCATCCTTACTGTTTCTGTCGGGCTGCTTTTTCTGTGCTGAAGAGTTTTGTATTTAAAATAAATAGAACTGTTACATCTTAGGAAATTTAACAGCAAACATATCCTGCCAAGGAGTACTTCTCTCTTACCTCTATCTTTCTGTTGGGAGAATCTTCAGGAAGCTTTTGCTTACAGAAAAATAAATTGTCCTGACCTAGTAAGGCTGTAAATTTTAACCTTAAGTGTGTACAGGTGACCAGTGCGTGCAGCCAGTGATTCTTAGAGAATATGTAGGTAACTGTCAGTAACTGAGGTATTTTATTTCTTCTGAAAATAAGTCGGGCGATATTAGGAAAGCAGATGCATCTTAGTGGTAGATCTATACAAAACGAGTAAGTTTTCTGTGTGTTTAATGCATTGATAAATAATGCAAAGCAGTATTTTGGCTCTCGGCTTTGGGATTTTTTAATGGTTTTTAAATATTTTGGATCAATTCATTACAGTCTACTTACGGGAAGCTTGATTTAAAATATTTTGCTCACATAAGCATGTTGAGCTGTAAGGGAAGGCATTACTGGCAGGAAGAAAATTCAGCATAGCTTAGATGTTTTGCTGGGTTGGAACCTTATTATACTTTCTAGATTTCTAAGCAATCATCTTTCTACATGCTTTTCCAGATTCTCTTAAACCTCTGCTGTTTGTTTCTTTTGTGGGTGTTTTTTGTTGCTGTTCCAAAACAGTAGGAAAAAAATGTGTCTGGTGTGTCCCGCCTTTCACTTCCCCCCCCTTCCCGTGAGGGAGGTGGAAATCTGAGATTGTGTTCGGGAAGCTTTACTAGTGCTCAGCCTCAGTACAGTCTGCCAGCAATAAAGTCGGGAAGAGGTGCCCTTGGATGAGCTCCCTGGCAGGCTGCTCCCAGGGAAGTCTGGAGGCTGGCCGACTTGGGGCTGCTCCCAGGAGCGCTGGCATTCCCAGTGCCCCTTTCTCAGGTGCACCGTGTGCTTTCCCAAACCACTTCCACCTCGGGTACCTCCCTGTCCCCTCCACACTCAGCTGCTCAGGGCTGTGTGCAGGCTGTCTCTGTGCTCACAGAGACCTTCCCAGACCTGCTCTGCTCTTTGGGCTGTTCCTACTCTGTGCCTGGTTCAGCACATAGTTCCCTCTCACACTCCAGTCCACATGAGCCTGCCTGTCCTTACTTGTCCTCTTCTTTTCTTCTGCTGGAGGAGCTGTGTGTGTTCCTGGTCCCCTGAGTGTGCTGCTGGGCTGCATGGAGCTGAAAAGCTATGGAGGAAAGGCCAAGGAGAATCCAGGAAGCAATGGCTTGCTGTGGTCCAAGTGGACATGCCAGCCCTGTGATGGATGGTGCATTGCTTTGCCCATTGATTACCCACAGTTCTAGAACTAATAATTTTTATTATTTAGCATTTAGGTCTGTATCCTTACTCCTCCTACCCTCCTTCCCTGAAAGGGACACAATTAATACAACCCTGTTGCTTCATAAAATCGCAGGCTGTCTGCACACAGTGTGATACTGCATTCCAAAATCTGCAAAGGAGGATATAGAGACGTGTCAGTAGAAAGAAGTTACGTTTTCAAGTGGTACAGGGCATTGATGTAACAGGGGGGAGCTAAACTCTTATACTAGAAGCTGCCACACTTGCCACAGCTGGAGAATTACCATGAGGTGCAGGCAATAATAGGCTGAATAATACCTGCTGTGGCTGGTGCCAGGGGAGTCACGGGAAGGGAAGGTGAAGATAGAATTTACAAACGAGGTGTGGTTTCAGGCTGGGTTCAGGGAGGATCCTCAGTGAGGTGGAACAATTCTACTGGTATGTTTTTGCATGCTGGAGGGACAGCTTTGAACTGCATGGCTAATTCCTGCCAACTTGACTGTGAATTTAGTGCTAGAGGTTAATGGCTCAAGATGGCCTTCTGACACAAACACATTTGTCCAGCAGAGCGAGGGAAGCAACATGTGAACAAAAGCATTTTTTAATCAAGAAGGTGTCCTTGGTCTCAGCCACACATTTTGCCTCATTTAATAGCAGTGGAGTGCTTTCTGCCTAATGTATTTCTCTTTTCAGAGGTCCCCTTGTATTTTTGCTTTTTAGTATCCTGTTATATTAGCATTTTCTGTTAGCATATTTTCTGTTACTGAAAATGCAACTAACACTAATCACTCACTTTAACTGTAAATGTTAACATTATTTTTGTAAGTGGCCGAATGTAAATTAGGTAGCTTGAATTCCCTGCTGCCTTCTAATTAGGCGTGTTTTTGCAAAGGGAAATCTTATCTGGTGTTTCATGGTGGCAGCTGTTCACATGAGTCAGTAGGAATTCCTTCCTCACCCCCATTCCTGCATCCCACATAATTTTGGATGTTGTCACTTCGGAAGCATTAAGCAAAAGTGACTGCTGATGTGAAAAATTCACGTATATAAGATTTTTTAAATTCCTTCAACTTTTATAACTTTTCCACAGAAAGAGGTCAACAAGATGCTTTTATCTTTATGCCCAGAAACATTTTGTTGATCTCGTTTATGAAAGATTATATGTCTTTTAAAATAATTGATATGAACATGTTTGCTTTGAAAGCAGCAACTCTACTACTGATTTCAAAGTGTAAAGGGAAATTTTAATTATTGACAGTTTGAAATCCTTTAGAAATTAAGCACAACTGATAGTAGTTTCTGGATATTCTTTCTGCAGACTCTTTTGCAACCATGAAGCTCCTGTCACATGAGGATGTATTTATCTGTTACTGTGTGTCTGTGGAGCCCCCTGACAGGGGCAGGATGTTTGTCTGGAAGCTCTGCCCTGACACTCTGTCACAGCAGTTTGTGTGCTCCTCCTGCTGAAGGGAGCCACTTTTACTGGAAGTTAAGCTGTTCTTAGGTGGTCTCCATTTTTTTCTACGTGCTTTTTTGACAGCCTTCTCTTAACTTCCCAAAGTTGTCTTTCATGTGACTGGTGTAACAGCATAAATACTCTTATCTGGCCGCTTTCTGAGAGGCTGACATGGCACGGGAGAGATGGATTGGTGTTTTTGCACGTTTCCCCTCTCCGAGGGTGCCATCAAACAATGCTTTTTTTCAGAGGGGACCCCAAAGTCCTCTGGTGATGCCATAAAACCTGGTGGCAAACTGTCCTCCTCCTGGGCTGGAGCTGCAGGGCTGCAGGCAGAGCTCTGGCAGGCCTCTCTCATTGTTTGGTTCTCAGCCTAGTGGGTTCACAGGATTTGACACGATTCAGTGACACGACACGGGGGGCGGTTTGCGAGGAAGCAGGGTGGGTTTGCGGATGGGAGCAGGTACTCTGTCCCTCTCTTATCTGGGTACAGCTGTAGGTAACCTCTCCAGGCTACAGTGATGGTTCTCATTAGGGGTCCCCAGCCCAGCTGCGAGGTGGGTCTGTGATTTCCTGCACCGCCGCTCTCCCTGCCCTGGACATGCGGTTTGTCATCTGCCTGCTCAGAGCTTCCTTGTGCTGGGCTGTGGCTTCCTGTGCTAAACCTGATCCAAATTTCTGCTGTGAGGTATTGAAGGGTGGCAAGGAGGAAAATAACAGTTGAGAGTGAATAGGTGTTGGCTGTGATCTTTACATGTGCTGGCAGCAGATCCCATGACTTGTATTAGCTGCACAAGTTGAACAGATGGAACAAATTGACAAAATCGTGTTCGCTCATGCTGTGCTTGAGGAGCAGCTGAGTTGCTGTTTGAAGTTGAAAGTTTGAGTGTGTTTTTTTTCCCCCTTGTAGTGGAATTTCTGGTTATAGCATAGAAGCTATTGCCTCAGTGCTCTGCAGTAGCCCAAAGCAGTTAATGAGAGCGGTGTGTGTCCTTCTCTGTGGCTCAGTGCACTCAGCCAGAGTTTTTGTGAGGCAGAGGGGAGTCAGGAGAGTGTTTCCCTTCTAGGTAACAGTCTAAATGCCTCCTCTGGTTTTAAGGTGGTGAAGTTGGATGAGGGCTGAGCTGAGCCCTTTTCTGTTCTGGCACCACCCAGGTCAGGGCAAGACTTCAGCTTTGTTTTTAGTAGTGTGTATGAAAGAGGTGATAACTGCAAATATGCATATGATGTTTTGACTGTGATGATTCTGGAATTGTGGTTCATGAGGAAAACCAATTTTTATTCTAGATAAGATTAACTCTTTCCCATACACTTCTCCAAGCGGAGTGCTTGGAGAAGATGTCCAGTTTGCCTTGAGGGGAAGCTGCTTACATGGCACAATGCATTTGCAGCTTGCTTGCTCAGCTTTGCTGGTCTGCACAGCATAGGAAGACTTCTGGGACTTCTCTCTTGCATTTTCTTCCTTCCCCTGCCTTTCTTTGGGCAAAATATGGGGCACAGAACTGGTATTTTTACCATCCCACACACTGACAATGAATGAGGAGCCCCAAACGTAGGAGACAGCAGGTGCATAGTTTTCATCCTGATCCAGCTATGAAAAAGACATTGTCCTTTCTCCTTCTGAAATTCGTTTGTAAGAGTGATTACTTACCTGCTTGTTCTGTGTTCCCTTTGCCTCCCTTAACTCTTCAGGACTTCAGGATGCATTTGACAGTGACTGGGAAACTGGGAAGATCACTTACAACAACTATAAAAATGGATCTGATGATGCTGTTTTGGCTTACAAACTCTTGGTACAAACAGGCAACCGTGCAAAACCCATTGACATCAGCCAGGTAGTGTATCAGAGTCCATGCTGGTTTACACAGCAATACACAAGTCATCAGGAGTGAGGGAAGGTGCATAGAGCTTGTCCTGAGTTTCTTTTTTCCAGCTCAAGGAGCTGAATGTCTGAGCTACAGCTTACTTGCATGGCCTCACTGACTTTGCTGAAGCCACTTATTAGCTGCAGTCTGGCCTGTGTTGCACAGTGTTCCAAACCAATGTGGGGAATGCCAAGCCCTTGATTGTTACTGGTTGGTGTGCAGTCAGTGCTGCTCCTGTGTCAGACACACTCAGTTCCCATTGAAATTGTTGAGAAAAATGCTTCTCTGCATCTCTAGGTAGATGGAGTCCAGTCCTAGGCCAGACTTTGCAATTATTTGGTTTGTTCCTACTGATTTATGCAAAACAAAACATTTAACAAATGATGTTGATGAATGGTAGAGGAAGGAGACTGAAATCATGACGTGCAATGTCATATTCTTGTACCATCATCACTAAATACATCTAAACTGTTGGAGAACTAAGAATGGCAGTTGTTAGAGCTGCCTAAATAAAATATGCCTGAGGTTACCACAGCATATGACTGCATTTGTGGTAGGTGTATTGTATTTCCATTGATAGGTGGAAATACATTGGGTGTGACTCCTTACACTAAAATTAGATTTCAAACCTTGAAGAGAAATTCTACAATGATGTAACTTTTCCTCTCTGAGAATCATCAGTGGCTCGCTGTGCTTTCAGGCAGAAGAACAGTCTTTCTAGTGGGCTTCTTGGCAGTTCTGCTTATTGTGTCCCTTTTTTGTCCCTGGCATTAAAGGTGACATATTTACAGTGCACATTGTTCAGAGTCACTATGGTGTGTGAAGCACACTGCTGTACAGCAGCATGCTGTCAGGGCTGAATGAAGCCTCAGCTATGAGTTAGGCCAAGTAAGTGAGTTGAAGAGAAAACCTTCAGTGAGATTTTGTTTAGCAGAGAGCACCAGGTACGCTGTGGAACAAATGCAATTGGACTGCAGCTGCTGATATAATTTCCTGTGCCTGGGAGGGAGAAAAGTGTGGTGCACCCACAGGGGCTGAGCATTGTGCTGTGCAGTTCCAGAGACAGCTTGAAGACATACAGTTGTTGCATATCCTGTGGACTAATTGAATCCAGATCCTTGGAATCCAACTTTTTTTTTTTTTTTTTTTTTTTTTTTACTGCTGTCACTGTTGTTTTTCATTTCATTAAAAAGACCTGGAACTGGAGCTGAGCCAGAATTTTAAATAAACAAAACAAAACCCACCAGTAATACTTTTCACCCACAGAGTCCTCTGTCAGAGCTCTAGCTGTGCAGGATTTGGCTAACAGAACCCTGGAAGCGTACCACTGCTGTTTACCCCACGGATATATCTGCCCACAGTGACCCAAATAACACAGGGCACTTGTCTGCTTTCATGATGCTGGGCATTTTCTGAATACATAGGTCATAGGAGGCAAGTGTTAGCAAAATTTATACAGATGTTGTTTTATTTTTATAGCTCTCCTCCATTTACTGGGTGGCATTTCCCTCAGTGTTAACAACAGAGGTTAACTGCACACAGACATGTATAGGGACTCTTGCCAGGTTTTCTTTCCATGTCTTTAAATATGTTTCTTCAACATGGTTGTTTTTTACTCTTGGCTGCAGTCTTTCAGAATTTGGATTTAATTGATTTAGTCTATTCTGGATCCATCTGCTGATTTAGTGGTTATTGTAAATATTACATGAGTACTAATTTATAAATTAGCCACTGTTACTGTGGCTAATTTTTTGAGATTTTGCTTTTATTGTTAAACAATAGTTTACTGATAAGTCACTTCAAGTGAAGATTTGTGTTCTCTTGCGTCCTATATGTGTTGCATCCCCAGGCTGTTTGTTGAAAGCATTATGGCAAAACCCCCGAAAGAAAAACTCATTCTGAAAGGCTTCCAACTTTTTTTTTCCATTTTGCAGTTGACTAAACAGCGTCTGGTGGATGCAGATGGAATCATTAACCCAAATGCTTTCTACATCTACCTGACAGCCTGGGTCAGCAATGACCCCGTGGCCTATGCTGCTTCCCAGGCCAACATCCGCCCCCACTGCCCGGAGTGGGTCCATGACAAGGCAGACTACATGCCAGAGACACGGCTGAGGAGTGAGTACCCCTTCATCTTTGTGTCTGACAGCTTGTGTGAGTGTCCCCACTGCTCCTTCAGCCACCAGTTACCCTGCAGCTGGCTGGTGCTGCACAGGGCTCAGAATAAGCAGGACAGCACATGGAAGGAAGCTGAACAGGAGCCAGAGTGTGCCCAGGGGGACAAGAAGGCCAATGGATCCTGGCCTGGCTCAGGAACAGGGTGGCCAACAGGGCCAAGGAAGTGATTCTTGCCCTGGACTCAGCACTGGGGAGGCCACCCCTGGAGTGCTGTGTCCAGCTCTGGGCCCTCAGCTCAGGAAGGACATGGAGGGGCTGGAGCAGGGCCAGAGGAGAGCAACGAGGCTGGGGAAGGGACTGGAGCACAAGTGCTGTGAGGAGAGGCTGAGGGCGCTGGGGGGGCTCAGCCTGGAGAAGAGGAGGCTCAGGGGAGACCTCCTCACTCTCTGCAACTCCCTGACAGGAGGGGGGAGCCGGGGGGGGTTGGTCTCTTTTCCCAGGCAACTCTCAGCAAGACAAGAGGGCTGGGTCTTCAGCTGTGCCAGGGGAGGGGTAGGTTGGATGTCAGGAAGAATTTCTTTCCAGGGAGGGTAATCAGGCATTGGAATGGGCTGCCCAGGGAAGGGGTGGAGATTTTTAAGATGAGACTGGATGTGGCATCAGTGCCATGGGCTGGGAACCACAGCGGGGTTGGATCAAGGGTTGGACTTGATCCTGGAGGTCCCTTCCAACCCAGCTGATTCTATGATTCTGTGGTGTTACTCTGTAGTCTTAGGGGATCCAAGCACCATTGCAGCTCTGGCACCACAGCAGGGTTTTAACATGTTGCAAAAATGCTCTAAAATTTTATAGTGAACATTGTTTTTTTTAGTGTCACCTGATAGTTCTGTCTGTGAGAGAGGCTTGGAGTTTGCATGAAACTCCTGCCTAAGTAATTCTGAAATTTCATCACTGAGGTTCTATCATGTTTGCCCTCAATCCTTAATACCTAAGAAGTCTTTATCAAGGTGACTCACATGCTGAGCTACCAGCACTGATACAGTTCAAGAGCTACTAAATTAGGGGAGAAGTCCCACTTCATGTCATTCACTGTTTTCCTGAGCACCAGTACCAGTTCTCATTGCTTTGCTTCAGCTTTCAGTTTGCTGGGAGGATTGCTGGTTGGACACCAGTGGGGAAAGGGAGAGGGTGCAGAGGGGGGACAACTGGTGCTCTTGGATAACCAGCCAGCCATGCTTCCATGTATCCAAACCCTAGAGCTTTGTGGCAGTCAGCCAAGTCCTGTCTTAATGAAAATTTATAGCTGAGATTATAATAGGGCAAATCATGTTAAGCAAGTCAGCTGAATGACCCTGCGGGGTCTGGAACACACAGCGACAGTAACCAAATGCTTGTTGTAGAAGGGGTTTTTTATTTGTCACAGAGTACACTTGGCATTACGCTCAAAAAAAGTATGGAGAGTGTTGGTGTGTCAAATTATTAAAGGATGAAAAGGTATGTTTTTCCTCAGTAAAGCATTACTCTGGTATTAGTTTTTTTCCCCAGTAATTTCCATCAGTAACAGAACACAGATTTCCTAATCTGACTTTCAAAATATTCAGTGGAAATCTTAAAATCAACCTGATCAAGCCTAATTTTTCTCTAGTTTTGTGTCAGTGGACCTCAGTTAATCTCAGGGAAATGACCTTTGATTTCAAAGCAACAGCATTGGCATAAAAGAGGAGCATTTGGATAAAATGTTTAAATGGTCTACTTGATATTGCAGAGAGAGATTTTTGGCCAGGTATTCAGTAAAAACCACTGTAACACTAATGAGGATTAAATACATGTATTGAAAGATATCTGTTAAATTATATATAATAGTCTGGGGATTTGATGCGGGCTGTATTCATCCCATTGCACTGCATGATAAAATGTGGTAACCTCATGTACTGCTTCTGGTTTCAATGTTTTGGGGAGTTTTAAAAATGCCACTCATTCCAAAGAAGTAACATTTAAATTCACCACCTTTAATCATTTTGCTATGGAGAATAAAGTGTTTTGTTAACCACACTCTCTGTGTATCTTCTCCCCAAATGCACATTTTAACACTCCTGTCACTTGTCCAGTTCCAGCAGCTGAGCCCATCGAGTACGCTCAGTTCCCTTTCTACCTCAATGGATTGCGTGAAACTTCTGACTTTGTGGAGGCTATTGAGAAAGTGAGAGCCATCTGCAGTAACTACACCAGCCTGGGCATCTCCAGCTACCCCAACGGGTACCCGTTCCTCTTCTGGGAGCAGTACATTGGCCTTCGCCACTGGCTCCTCTTATCCATTAGCGTGGTTTTGGCTTGCACGTTTCTGGTGTGTGCCCTCTTCCTCCTGAACCCCTGGACAGCTGGGATCATTGTAAGTTTATTATAAGGGTCTTTGTTGAAGTCAAATTCCTTTCAGCATAGCTCTTGCTGTAGCCGGGAAGGTTTTGTTTATGTCTGGGCTTCTGGTGGAGTATGTGTATTGCATCATTCATTATATATTTATTCAACTTGAGGGGGTGTAGGGTTCATGCTAAAGGTATAAACCTTAATAACCTTAATCTTCTGGCCACCTTTTTTGCAACTTTAAAGGTTTCTTAGAAAGGTACATAAACTTTTGCCCTCGCCCACGTGCACGCTAACATGAGAAATAAAGACACAGAGGAAAATTAGGAACTTCATTAAAGTAATTTCTGATTCTGTATTCCCTCTCCCCTTTTGTCGGACACAGTTATTTTTCAAGGCAGCTGCTTGTGACTAAGTTGCCCGTAAATTCCCTCCCTGATTTCTGAATGCAGTCTTTCTGGAAAGCACTGCAATGGTTCTGTTGTACAGTACTGTGGAAAGAGTGTAACTGAGCTATCACAGGAGAAGGAGCATAAAACTATAAAGTGAAGAGAATACTCCCCTATGCTTTCTGCAAGGCACCGTAAGCCTCTCAGTAAACATTCAAGTTAAATTGAATGATGATGTTCCTATGTTTAAATTCCATAAACTATCATATGGTTTATAAAACGCCAGAAGTAGAAAAGCATAAAACAGTTACTAGTTTTTGTAATGTACATTTATATGACAGGTATGTTAAAAGGTAAATGTTTAGTCTAGAATATTTTTTATAGCACTTAATCAAGCAATTTATGTTATTATGCTTGATTCATTAACTTATAAAATCATTTATTGTAGTGCATACTTTTTACCCTTGGAAAAGGCATTTATTTTCAGAGTCCACCATTGCTTTTATAAATATGTCTATCTTTTTTTTCCTGCTTGGCTTTAGCAACTTTTAAAGTTGATTCTCCAGATTTCCTCCCCTCCCTTTTCCTCAATTTTTTTATTTTACAACGTAGATGAAAGAAAAATAAAAGCTTTCCTTTAGATTTGACTGTCCACTTTGTCCATGTCAGTCCCCCCAAATATCTTAAAAGCTCAGAGCCCCTCTGTAACCTGAGACTCGTCAGCTGATTGTGGCATTCACTTTTTTCTGGGCTTTAAAACCTACTGAAAAGTCATCCTCACTTAAATTTGCAGTTATACAAAAAAGAGTTCAAATACAGGTAGTTCAAAGTTACTTTTTCTGGAAGGATTGTCTGAGAGACAGATGAAAAAGAGAAAATGTATGTTTTTGAGGTGTATCCATGATAAGGAGGAAGAAATGGTTTTTCAGATCAAGTCCATTATAAAACTGAGGCTTGATCAGTTAAGTAGTTCTTAGGAGTGTAATTTAGACTGGCTCTTCAGCAGTGTATTGGCTTTGAGCAAAATGAAACAAGCAAAAGCAGCTTGTCTTTGGGAATACAGGATGGCTTTGAGGAATATGTCTTACAGTCACCATGTTTTGAAATATCTTTCTTTTCCTTTGCCTGGAGTATAAGAAGTTGCTAACAGATGCTTGAAATCATCTAGGTGGTGGTGCTGGCTCTGATGACTGTGGAGCTGTTTGGCATGATGGGTCTAATTGGAATAAAGCTGAGTGCAGTGCCTGTGGTTATCCTGATTGCTTCTGTTGGTATTGGCGTGGAATTCACTGTTCACGTTGCTTTGGTATGTAAAGTCAAGAAACATTTTAAAAAAACGTTTTAAAATAAAATGGTGGCAATATTTGGGTCACAAATCCTTACTTGGTCTAAGTTGCATGTCAGTGGCATGATTCTAAGAAGGAATATGGTCACAGTTTTGTGTGCCCTTCTGTTTGTCTTGATGGAACAGAATTGATCTTGATGAGTAGTTCCTAACTACAGAGTCAGTCTCCCAGGAAATAAGAGAGGATACATTACCTGTGATACCCACCTGTCTGATTGAGGCAATTATACAGACAAAACAGAGATCTTAAATCACCTTACTTCAGTCGAGACTCTCATGATCCTTGTCTGCAGCCTTACTGTTATTGCCTCAGTGCTAGGTAGCTTTTTGTCCTCTTTTGCATGTAGATTCTGTATCTTGTGAAAGAGAAACCTTTAAAGGAGATTTTCAAAATCAGATACAGTGTCATTTGATATTTCTAGACCACTAGAATGTGAACATATTTGGATTAATTTTCCAGCTGTAAAACCTGCACCTTCTTTTTAGAAGTCATCAGCTATTAATAGTGGGCACAAACATGCAGTCTGTAGGAAAAGAGTTTTCTACTGTTTGTCTACTGGTGTAGATGATGTGCAGAGTTAGAGCACACAAAATAGCAGGATGAAAAAAATAATTTTAAGAAAAATCATAGGGAAAATAATGTTAGGTTAAAGAGGAGGAATTGGATCCATGAAGTAATGACATCTTTTTTTCACCTGCTGCCATGGATGGTTAGGCTGTTGGAAGTAAATGAGTTTGCTAGGACTTGGAATAGTACAAGACATGTCAAAAAATCATGGTGTAGAAGAGGAAGGAAGAAATGACAGTTTCTTAGCATTGAAGATTTAAAACAGGAAAACTGGAGTAAAAAAAGGACAAAGCAGTTGTTTCTAAGTGGGAAGTTTATTGCCATAAACTAATGAAATGAAAATAATTTAATTTATAGGATTTTACAGGTCACCTGTGGCTGAAGCTAAAATGCCAAGCAAACTAAAAATGGTGCTTTTCTCACATTGAAACTGAAGTCAAAAACTTGGAAACATATAAACAGTCAAATCAGTGTTGCATAAACAAAATAGGCAATGCTGGAACTGTTGATACAGAATTTGAGTTTAAAAATTATTCACAACCCACTTGTGGGTCAGTTCTCTCCTATGGCTTGTGAATTGTGGCCTTGTTTTTTTTTAATTCTGCAAATTCTAGAGAAGAGAGAATTCAATTCCAGGACTGAGAGGAAGATAGCTGCTTCAGCTCATGTCTTAATGGGCAGTAGAGAACTTGCCAAAGAGAGCCCTTACAAATCACAGGAAGAAGATCAGCCAGGTTCTTGTTTTCTTGAACCATTACATCATACGCAGAGTAGACAAATACGTAACAAACAACATTATTTGAGCGTTCTTGATGCAGCTTGTTCACTAAGAGGATGGAAGGATAAAGGCACTTCACTAGTCAGACTGTTGCTCAGGAACTACCACGTGCAGCACTATTCCTGAGGCAATTTTGTGTGTATGGACCTGCCAGCTTTGAAGTAGTAGAAGTTGCAAAAACGTTCATTTTGAGTGAAGTAGAAGTGTTTAAAAAAGTTGTGGAACCTGTGGAAAGTTGTGGCCCCACAAAGGTGAGAGGAGCAACCCTGCAGTCGTGACACCTGAAGTGCTTTCACATGACATGAATTCTTGGCAGGTGGAAGTGAGCAGAGTTGGAGGCAGAAGGGTACTGGTGCAGGCAGACATTGCTTCCAAAAGCATTGCTGCGGTCTGGTCTGACTGTGCCGTCGATGCTTCTCTGGTCCTGTGGCTGGAGCAGCAGCTGTGTGTGACTGCAGGACAAGGCCTCCCTGCAGGGGTCAGCCAGCCACAGAGATAACTGTGATAAACTGTGTAGTGCAGAGTAATTAACTGATGCAAAACTGTGCATGCCATGAGAGAGGCTTTCTGGAAGGTTGTACGTGTCTGTCTAAGGAAATGGACTCCTTTGTTTTGCAGGCATTTTTAACTGCCATGGGAGACAGGAACCACAGGGCTGTCCTGGCCTTGGAACACATGTTTGCACCAGTGCTGGACGGGGCTGTGTCCACTCTGCTTGGGGTGTTAATGCTTGCAGGGTCAGAGTTTGATTTCATTGTCAGGTAAAGCATCTGTGTGTGTCAACTTACTTTTAAAATAAAAATAAGTATGCTTTTAATTTTTAAGTCATTTCAGCAAATCTGTCATTTTATTACTATGCATGGTGTGTCAAGCATGCTTACATCATGGTCCTGCTTTCCCTCTGTTTTATTAACTCCTTGTTACGTGCTAGACATGGTAGTGTTTCCACTGCTGGCGTTAAAATCTGTTCCAGGAAAATCTGACACTCAGCATGAAAGAATGCAAAAGTGTCCCTCTTTCAAAAGTTTGCTAATTCTGGGTTGAGTTAGTTCAAATCATCTGATATTGTCCCATATTAGCTGGGTCTGACCTTTAACATGGAGGTCCTCCAGACTTCTTGTATGCCCAGGAATTTGTGTGCAAAGGACATGTGAACCTACAAACATTCAACTGCGCTGCGAGTGACTCTCTCAGGGCCTTCCCCTTCTGTCATTATGCAAGGTAAATATAATGAGGAAAAGAGAGAGGGGGGGAAAAAGGCCCTGTTTGGGAGCTGGGGAACCATAAATATGAACACAGAACTTCATACTGAACCTGAAGACCCTTCTGTTTAGAACTACGAGCAGACTGTTTCTTGTGAATTTAATTAAGAATGTGAATTTGTCAAATAGAGAGGAAAGCAAGTTTTTCTTTGAGGGGAATATGAGAAGTGCAATGAAACAGATCCTATTCTATTCCAAACAACCTGTGGAGCTCTGCAAAGTGGCTAATCTTAGAGGTAACACAAGGCTCTTTTGTGGTAAACTACAGCGCACACACACAAAAAAATAATCCAAGCCCTAAAATGGAACCGAGGTAAAACTGGGCCAAATAAAAATGCTCTAAAAGATGGCTTAGCTGCTTAGGTGGACGTAAGCTGGATGGATGACTAGACTTAGCTGACATCCATTTGACAACAAGAACAACAAAATGTCAGGGGCAGGAACTCAGAGAATGACTGCTAAATCTCATCAAGCTTTTTGTTTATGTGTGAATGAGATTTGAAGAAAGAAGGCAGATTGCAGTTTGGTCTCATGAAACCTACATGAGGATTATTACTATACAGATACTGCATGTCCTGAAAGAGATTTTTTTTTTCCCAAGTCAGTAATTTTTACTTTATTTTATTGATATTGAAGAAGTAGAATTATTCTTTTAGGACCTGATCTTGTAAGGGCTGGAACATTTTCACATACAAGTTACTGATAGATTTAACCTGAACTTAAAGGGGCATTTGGTGTGCTACTTCCCTACTTAACAGACAAGATTTTGGCAAGCGTATTCTTCTGTCATAGCAAAAGGAAGATTGTAGGGGCCCTTCACACCAAATTTGGATTGGATGTTCTCTCAGTTTATAAAATGACCCTTTCAACTTACGTTATTTTACTTTTTTTGGCCATCGGTTTCTCATTTTATAGCACAATCTGACTTCAGTTTGCCTTGCTTAAAAAATAAAATAAAATAAACTCTGGGGAGTCTGAGCATTGTTATAGTGGGCAAAGAAGATCCCAAACTTCCGGAAAGCGATAGATTAGTCCAGCAATGTTGGAAGATTAAGTAAATTAACAGACATTGTATACACCAAGTGGTCAAGGCTATAATCGTCCTGTTTATTCTAACACTAGATGGATGAGATGCAAATGTTTTTAATGTCTGTAGCTGATCTGTGTCCCAGTGTAAAGTTCTGGTGGTTTATGTTAGTAGAATAGATTGGCTTGCTGATTTTTGCTAATGCAGATCAGAAATTCCCAGATGTTTACAATAGCAGGATATTTATAGTTTTACAGGAGTCTGATATATTTGATCAGATGTGGAAACAGGGAGGCAGTAAAGTTTGTTGCCAGCTAGACAATGTAATCAGTAGACCCATTAGTAGCAAACTTGCCCTCTGTTCTTCTCCTTTGCCTTCTCCTCCAGGAATTTACCAAGAGTGAGCCTTTGAAATCATTAGTTACAACGCAGCCTTAAGTTTAGTCTGAGCCCCAGCTGTGCCGAATACCAACTAGCAAGGCTTTCCTTTCACTGACAGGTTTACCTTGGTATTCATGAAGGATCCCAGACCTTAGCCCTCAGTGGTGGGAAAGGACAACTACTTGTGCACTTTTCTCTTCTTCCATAGTATTTCAGCCTTTATGTTTGAATTGGCTGACGCAAAACAAGAGTATTCAGAGATGCTAAATTGTTCAACAAAAGATTAGCCTGCAATGCAGCTCTGCCATTGTGGAGCACTCTTACTCAGTACAATGCTGAAGCTTACTATAGAATGGGCATTTTCTTTGCAGAAAGCGGGTGCCTGTGTTGTAAAAGGGTTGCAATTCAAGCTATTTGGTAAAACTGGAACTCACAGAATTTGAGGCGTTAAGTTGTGATTAATGAACGGCGAGTAAAACCCTTACCTGATATACTGTAGATTTAATTAGACATTCTGCTGTAAGTTGCAGAAGCATTTCACAGTGGATTAACTGCTGGGAGAAGAGAGCTTCTTTTCCTTCTAGACTAAATTGTTTAAATTCTACACCCTTCACTTCATTTGTTTGCTTCTGCTGGGTTTTCACTAATGGGGGCCCCTTTTCATTGTATTTGTGCTTTCAATCCATTCAGCTATTCCTTGCACATTCCATATTTTTGTGTTTGTGTAACACATTCATAAGTAACATTACATGCTTCCAGATTTTGGGAAATTAACAAACATAATTTTTTTCTTTCCTTTCTCAACTAACACTTTGCGGAATGTAGCTTCTCTAATTCAAAAGGTAAAAACCCTATATCACTTTTCACACAGAGATATAATTATTTACTGCAATGTGAGTAATATATTGGATTAAATTTAGTATATATATTAGTTTAACATGTGTAGGAATAATTTGTAATCCCCTATTTCTAACAGTACTTGTGGCTATTCTCTCCCCCAAACCCTTGAACTGTACTACAGGTATTTCTTTGCTGTTTTGGCAATCTTAACCATTCTGGGAGTTCTCAATGGATTGGTGCTGCTTCCTGTTCTTCTTTCATTCTTTGGACCATACCCTGAGGTCAGTAAAATTAATGGGGAACAGAAGAAATAATACTGTGTCTGCAGCCCTATCTCTCCCGATCACTCCCCTTTTTTAGAAACTTTTCTTAAATTCTCTTGGATTTAGTTTCTTGATGTAGGGGGTTTTGGGGGGGTGTTTGGTTGGTTTTGTTGTTTTGGTTTGGTTTTTTTTATTTTTATTAAAAGTGCTGTTTGTTACACAGTTGATATTATTCTATTTTTCAAACTTTTTTTTTAATAAGTCTTCTTTTAGAGGCCACAATCAGCAAACCTGATACAAGTCTAGTATCAGGTTTATGCTTTTAAAAGCATAACGTGATACGCAAACAAGTTTGTAAAATAAGGATTTCCCCCAATACTTTGCAAAAGACAGTTTGTTTTATACGTGTACCTTCTTCTTTCTTACCTCGTTGCCTCTGTTGCATTCCTCAAAATGTTTAATTGAGCAGACCACCAGGAAGGCCTGTGTGGACCAACATACCCAGTGGTGGTCCACAGACCACACCTTGGTAACCATGACTGGTCTGCCAGAAGGTCCCTGCTGTCCAGTCCCCACTCTCTGCTGCATCCTCCCGCCTCACGTGGCGTTCTTGATGGGTGGAAGGCTTCACTTAGGTGTTGGTGACTTTACAGTACAAAGCCCAAGTCCAGATACCAGGATTCAGAGATACCAAGTGTATATTTGGTTGTTGATCATTCATTACCTACCCTGTAGTTAATACAATCGCTGTGTTACGCAGGGATATCTTTGTCACGTGTCAGTGAAATCAGTGTGCTGGGTTTCACATGTCTGTGTGTCACAGGCATATTTGAGAAGGGCTTGGGTTTTTTTAGTATTGGTAAAACAATTTTGACAACAATGTGTGTTCTCTTAATTCCCAGCTGTACACATGACCTATCCCATACTCGAGCAATGTATATGTGTGTGTTATTACCATATATATTGCTATGATACATGTGTCCATCTCTCTTTACAGATAGGCAGTGAACCATGCTATACCTGTGCATTTGAGGTGATTTTCTGAAATCACTGTTAGTGCTTGCTGAAGGGAGAGGGATTTTTACATTTATTAAGTGCAAGTGCATGCACACACACACACACACACACACACATGCACTTCCTGAGACAGCAATACCCAGAAGGGTCCGTGTAATCCTGTTTACATGAATATCCACGGATGGAGGCCATGCCTTTCTTTCCTTCAGTGATTTTTTTCAGTTCAGTATAAACATTCCCCAGGAAACTGCTGCTTAGGTTGTTGTGGCACGGAGAGTGTATTTGACAGGAGAACATTTGTGTCAAGCAGTAATGATTAGAAGGGTAATGCTAGCTGAATATTACTGAATGTGTTGCCATCATCAGGTTTCTCCAGCCAATGGACAGAACAGATTGCCCACACCATCTCCTGAGCCACCCCCCAGTGTGGTGAGGTTTGCTCTGCCACCTGGGCACACAAACCATGCCTCGGATTCCTCTGACTCCGAGTACAGCTCTCAGACCACGGTGTCGGGCATCAGCGAGGAGCTGCAGCAGTACCAGGGCACGCGTGGCCCCGGGGCACCAGGGCACCAGGTCAGAGTGGAGGCCACTGAGAACCCTCTCTTTGCAAGATCCACTGTGAGTAGCTTTCATAGGGACCAGCAGGAGGACAAGAAGAGTTTTGTTGTTTTTGGGGTTTTTAAGATTTATTTAAATCTGTTTTCATGCAAAACTCTTTCATATTTCTGACTGATTGTGCTTTGTGACTTTGTGCCAAAACCTGTAAACAAGTAGTGAAGGCTTTCCTCGTCCTCTCCTTTGGAATCAAGTTGGGGGTAAAGTGGTGGTATGAAAGCAGAGGTCTTTGGCATGTATAACTGCTGTTACATCGTGCTGACACCAGCCACAAGAGAGAGCTCTCCGTCTGTTTGATGACTTTTCAGGGAGAGATTACAAGATCCCAACCTCTTTCACACAGCTCTTGTGGATCACTACCTCATATATCTCTCTGTGACAGCACATTTTGGGGAGAAAGATTGCCAGAGCCAGAAGAAAGCAGTTTAAGTGTTGTACCAAATCACGGGCCTTGTTGCATCTTGCTGCTGGGTTGGCATAATTGCGATTTCAAAGGAAAGCGAAAAACCTCTGTCTCCTACCCCTGCTGGTGTTGCATGCTGAGCTGCAATATGGATCTGGTTTTGTTCAGGAGAGGCCTAGAAATAGGTACAAGCACAGCCACATTTGAAGTTGGTCACGGCTTATTGAGTGATGTGGCTGCTGCGCTTCACGCTTTTTATGGAAATCAGAAAACAGATTCCTACAGTCTATATGAACTACCCTGATAACATCCTGCATATGTTCCCTGCGTGGAATAGACCCTTTTCCAAATGCCAGCAATTCTGCTTGTTGAACAAGTTAAGATCAAGTGCTTGTCATCCGTCTCTTTGAAAAGGTGGACCAGTATGTAGGAAGCTTACAGTAATGTGTTCAGCTGTCATCCTGTGTTCTCCTGAAGACGTGCTTTCCAGGTTTTAATAACTTCAGACAAAAAACACGGAAAAATCAATTAGCAGATTCCACAACATTACCTTTGTAGAGCTAGAGCATTATTATATTTATTCTCGGTGTAAAATATAAGCAAGCATAGTTTGCTTAGGTTTGTCAGAGACATGACTGTGCATCTGTCTCTCTTCCAGGTGGTTCAGCCAGAAGCAAGGCATCAGCCAAGCCCCGGGCTGCAGTCGAGTGCAGAGCCCGGCATGCAGCAGGTGTGGGGTCAGGGCAGACACCCCAAACGGGACGGCAGGGAGGGGCCGCAGCCGCCCCCGTACCGCCCTCGCAGGGACGCCTTTGAGATTTCTACTGAGGGGCATTCAGGACCCAGCAGCAGGGACCGCTCGGGCCACAGGGCTCGTTCCCACCCCGTGAGGAGCCCGGCGTGCGGGGCCGCAGGCGCGGCGGGACCGGGACCGTCCTACTGCCAGCCCATCACTACTGTGACCGCCTCGGCTTCTGTGACCGTCGCCGTCCACCCCGCCCGGCACGGCCACGGCGCCCGGGCAGGGAGCTGCCCCTCCCACGAGGGGCACCAGGAGCCTGACCATGGGCCGTTCGAGGACCCCCACGTGCCTTTTAACGTGTGGTGTGAAAGAAGAAACTCTAAAGTGGAAGTTATAGAACTGCAAGATGTTGAATGTGAGGAAAGGGTACCTGGCAACAGCTCACAGTAAGGTAGGTCCAGCACGTGTAACTACAGGCTTTGCCTGTGTCAGGCAATAGTATGAGAGAAAGAAAGAAAAAAAAGAGGAAAAATAAAATTTGTCAGAGGTATCTTTCCTTTAGATAGCGCTACTTACAGGTCACTGATCATCTTAAACCGTGAATAGAGTACATTTTGCACTAGACATGAGGTTGGATGATGTAGTGCTCTCCAACGCTGAGAAGTTATTGTGGGTCTAGACTGAACTGCTTCCAAGAGCCTTGGAAAGTGGATAAGTACATCATGCAGTCCCAGTTTACCAGATGAGGAAAATGAAGCAGAGTTGCTGTGTAACTTTTTCAGAGCTCTGTGATTGCATTTACCACTGATAGGTCCTGTCTTCTGAACCCTGACTCAGGCATGCTCTAGCACAGTGTGCAGAATGACATTGCCTAGGAGAGTGTAAATTGTCAGCTCCTTCAAGAGTTGTTCCGTCTTGAATAAAGTAGTCTGTGGAAGAATTTGAAGTCCATAATGAGGACTGAATCCCTCTGGAAGATGAGCTGAGTGAAAAGTGGGAAGTCCTACCATGCCTACTGTGCTGCTGCACAGTGGGGTGTCCCCTGCTCTTTGAGGGGCCCTCAGAGACCCACCCCATGAACTCCCACCCTGGAGGTGTCGTGGGCCAACCTCTGCCTGGCAGGGGCAGCTGCAGGGGCTGCCACAGGTTGGATGGGGCAGAGCTGACCTGGCAGGGCACTGACGTGTTCTGTGAAACCACAGATACACCTGGGGAGACTTGCTGCCTAAATCATTGTCTGTCTTTAGGCTGGCAAGAGAAGGTCCCAGGAAATGGTCCTGTTTATAACAGGCAGGATGTTTTAGAGGATGTTTGGGGAATATAAAGATTTTCTTTTTCTTTTCATTTTTCTTAGTTTTTTTGTTACTTCTATAGGGAGTACTTTGAAGCTGGGAAGCCCACCGGGTTTTTACTCTGAAAGCTTTTTGGGTCTTTCACCTGAAAAACTGTTTATCGCTATTTTTACACTGTTTTTTTTCTTGGAGGGGGAAAAAGAGAGTGTTAAAACAGTTACTTAGTTGTAGATCCCTGTTTTTTCTCTTTGCTTGTCTGAGCTTTTCAGTGACAGACACTAGTTTGAGCAGAGGAAGTAATTTTATTTTGGCTGTAGGACACATGCACGCTCACACACAGAGTTTTGGTGGAAATTTTTATGATAACTCATAGAATCACTTTCTGATTTATAAAACATCTCTCCAAACATCCCAAAGTGCAAATAGACATGAATGCCTCTGGCCTTCCGGTCTAGAAATCTGACAAGTAATAGTATCCACAGAATAAGGAAATACTTGGGCTCAGCTGTTTGGAGCTGAAGTGCATGGTTGGTAATGTGAGATCCTTAAATGTGTGCAGTGTTCAATGCAGCGTCTCTATCCTTCAAACATTCATTGGTTTTGACTGAATTTGTCACAGGTATCTGAAAGTGGGAACTCAAAATTGAGGCATCTGCATTTTTTTAATTGGAGTCAGTATTTCTTTACCAGGAAATTAATGACTGAGATGAAAGCAGAGCCAGCGTTTCCTGGCTGCTGACTGTAACCTCAGGAAACATGAAATGAGTTGGATTAGCTTGATTTGTTTGTTTTTCTTGAGCTTTAATGGATGTTTGGTTTTTTTCTTCTGTATTTATACAGGGTAATAACTGAAGCAAAGAAGAGGCCAAAGATGGAAAACTGTATTTCCAGAACTGCTTGAAGAGAAGAACTGCTTGAAGTTGTAGAAAAGGACATGCTGCATCAGGACAACAGTTCACTGTTACTGTAACCTATTGTATTATTTTGTTATATATTTCTTTTAAGTATTTAAAAGATGTACACATATGTAATATACAAAAGAACAATGTAAAGTAGTATAATCTGGAGTAATTTGCCTCTGGGCAATAGAATGGGGACAATATTGTGTGCGCTTTGTACTTTTTGTACATCGATTTCTGTGCCACAATTAAGCTTAATCTAGTTCTAAATTTCAGCATAAGTTGCTGCTGCTTAAATATTTTATAATTTACTTGTATAATTCTATGCAAATATTGCTTATGTGATAGGATTTTTTGAAAGGTACATGTCTGTTTAAAATATTTTAAACTTGCGTATCACGACCCTGTGGTAGTATGAAATGACTGTTAACTTTCACACACGCTATGCGTGGTAATTTTTAAAATAAGCAGATACGAAGAAAAGCAAGTTAATCTGGGAGGCTTAAATAATTTTAGATATGTGCAGGGTTTGTTTTGCTGTATGTATTCCTGTGTGCATCTGGAAATATGCATCTCTGTGTATGTTCCTGGTGTACTGTAGTTTCTCTTTTACTGTATGTTAACACCTGGTGGGCTTATAAACCCACTGATGCTGATGTAAGTCCAGCTTTCCCTGTTAGCAGGCACTAGTAAAAACAGAGTTGGTGTTTACCAGCATACACACCGTAGACTGCCATCATCAAAGGCCCAGCTAAAATAAAAGAGAAGACAGGGAGGTGAGGTTTGGGGTTGTGTTTCAGTTCGCAGACCCCGACGACTTGGTTCACATGACTTTGGTCAAGTCACTTAACTCCCCCATGCCTCAGTTTCTCATTCTGTAAAATGATTATAATTACACTTACCTACCTCCCAGGAATGTTGTGAGGCTTAATTACTGTTCCTGTAGTGCTTTTTTGGGTTTTTTTTTTCTTGCAAAAGGTGCCAGGTAAGTGCAAACACTATAACCATTATTTTTTCACTTCCAAAGGTGCTGGATATTGAGAGGTGCTGGTGGTTATAGAAATACAATTAGCATCTGCCTTATTTTGATACTGTTAACCATGAGTGGCATTAGAAGCTGGATGATGAGTTGCTTAATGGTGAGCCACAGCTCAGTTGTGTTGTTACAGCATTGAAAGCAGTATCTTTGGTCACCTTATTTTCATGGCAGGAAGGAGCTAATAGTAAATGATAAAAATCAAATGGAAGGATAAAAAGAAAGTATATTCACTTTTTAAATATAAATGGCTTTCTGGTGGGCCCGGGATGGTAATAACACATAAAGCCTGGGTTGTTCTTTTCTCTGTTGTTTGTGTTTTCCCATGCTGCATTGGCACTTTTAATCAAAACAGCTAAACTGGGATCTCTTTGCGAAACTAATTTAGCTTTTTGTACTATTATTTTTAAACTAGAAGGGGATTGCTGCAGGTGAAGGGTCTGGAAAAACACTACAATCTGTGTTCCAGTTGGAAACAAACCCTAAGAACAGAGAACCTTAATTTAAAATAATGCAACACAAATTTTCATTATCTCTGTCTTCTTTTTTCATCTTTTTTATGCCCTTCTCCAAGCTGTTTTTTAGAGCAGGTAGATGTTCAATTGTGTATTCAGAGCCAAACACAACCAATATTCAGTTTCTAAACCATCAGTGGTGGGGCTTTTCTTTACGTATTCCTGAACAGCAGTGGCCAATTCTTTAATGGGAAAGTGTTTTTCTCCAGTGGCTTCAGGGAGTCTGTCTTTGCCCGCAGACCTTGCCAGCATAATGAATGGGGATAATTAGAATGCACAAATTTCCATGCCTTTTTTTGCTCACTTGAAAACACTTTGATATGAGGCACTTGTTTACAGATGTCCAATGTGAACGCTCGAAGGGCAGGTGGCGAGAGCCTGGTGTCGTTCCCCTAGAACATAAGCTACTGTCTCAGTGCACCCCAGGGGTTAATGTCACAGCTGCCTCCTGGTCCAGGTCACTGTCCAACCAACGGGAAAACTCTTGGTGACAAAAAGACGAGGGGCCCCGATGTAGCACAAGCAGCACACTAACCTCAGATCATACAACCCTGTAACACAACTGTATGACACTAATGGGAGCCGCCTCCAACCGCCCAGTGCCACGGCTGGCAGGGCTCCCACTGACACTGCCCTGCCTCCTGTGCCACAGGCTGCCCTGCTGCCTCCTCCTCCTCCTCCTCCTCGGGAGGGAGGGGGCCCAGGGCAGCTGCAGTGTCTCTGCCCTGCCCTGCCCTCTGCAGGGGTGAGCTCTCTGCTGCTTCGTGCTCAATGTAGACCTTCTTCTTCGATAGTCACATTGGCAAGAGAACTCAGTGGCTGGCAACATTTGTTTTGTTGGGTTTTGGTTTTTTTTAACTTTTTTTAATCATGGATGATATTTATATTTTTGTATCATAGGAATGTTTTTCTTACAGTATTTGTCATGCCAGTTTATAACAAACAAGATGCAGGGATTTTATTTCTATTGGAAACACTATTACAGTTATGTTTTTACTGTTTAATGAATTTTTATGTGTATAGAGTGCTTACTAATGTTAAATAGGAAAGAGTATATAACATTTACGTTAAGGATTTGTCGTAGCTTTTAGTGTAAGGAGTTAAAAGGAAAAAAATATTCAAACTGGGTCTCATTGCCTGCCTGTTTTGGTAGGAGTGGGTTTGCGTCATTTCAGTTACAAAGATAAAATTATGCCATATAATTTATTTATATGAAAATTTATTTTTGTAGTGTACATAGTAGTCATCAAGTCTTTTGACAGAAGTATATTTTTAAAGAGTTTATATGTAATGATGATACCATTATGTTTTGGAACACTGCTGAGATACGATTACAGTGCACACTTTTCCTTGTAAACCCCCTGGAGAAAAGAAAGTGTTTAACAGTGTTAAGAGAAAGAGAGTGTGAATATTCATACAATTCAGAACTGTGTTTTAGCTACCATTTGTGATCTAGTGTGGTTCTCATTTTAAACTTTGAATGGAAATTGTACAAACTCTCTAAATATTAATGTTCGAACACTGATAGAAATTCTAACATAAATAAAAAGAATATAACTTACTGGTTATTGATTTGGTTGTTTATGGAATGCTTCTCTATATACCACTGGTCAGCTGTGAAGGTACAAACATGCAAGCATTCTGATTTGGAGCATAAACTTGGAACGTTTGGGAGATTTGCCCATTTTGGAGCAGGAGCTGTTTCCGATACCCTGTCTAAATTGTAACCTGCTGGTCCTTGTCTGTTGATTCTGTTACCCTTGTTATATGTTGGGGGATTGTGGCTGGATTATACATTTAATTCTCACTCTGAATGAAACAGTTTGTATAGACTTCAAACTCTTGGCTAAAGCACTTTACGTACAGGTTATTTCTGCTTAACTGTGGGAGGAAATTCTTTTGTCTTTTTCCCATCTCTGTGGTTGCTTCCTAAATTGGTTTAGAGAAATAGTCTGGTATTTTCACTTCGTGGAAGGAAAAAAAAAAAAGTGGAGTTCTTCAAACTCTGAAAAGCCCTCCATAAGAAGGGAGGGTCTTGACAAAACTTGTTTTGGGAAGTGTGCTAGTGATTGCAAGGCAGTGTGCAAGTCCCTGTGCTGGGCACAGGCCCTGCCTGGCAAGGAGGAGAGGCTACTGCAGGCATGGGGGGGATGTTGTAAGTAGACACGTCTGTCTGAAGTCATTTGCATCATAAACCTCACTGATTTGTCCTGTGCAAAGATACTCTTCTGAGCATCCCTCAAAATGCCACAGATCCAGCCAGCTTATCTGCATCCTTTTTTAGCCAGCTTTTACTCTGTGCTAGAACTCTTAGGTATTTTTTTACATAAGTGTTCAAAATGTCTCATAAATAGCCCAAACATGTCTTGAGATAACTTATAATTCAGTCTCTACTTTTCATGGTCAGAGGAAAGGCAAGTAAAATTTTCTATTTCATGTTTTCTGGAAGTTTAACCACAAAAAAGAGAATTAAAGGACTTGAACTGCAGAACTCCTACACCTGTTTTCTTGCTACTCAAAACACTCTCCTTCACATCCTTAGGATTAGCCAGGCTGAGTCAGGTTGCAGATTTGGCTTTGGGTTACAGCCCGTGAAAAGAGTGCCACTGAAGCCTTGCTTCAGCTCAACTCACTGACTTTGTCTTTGGTGTCCCAGCCATGGGGCAAATCCATTCACAGGGCTGGAAACCACATAAATAAACCCACAAATTCTGTCAGAACATAGGATTTTTCTTTAAAAACTCCATTTTGCGTCAGCAATAGCTATTTACATGACGTTATTTGTCATGTTTAAATTTCTGATCATTTTGCTGTCAGTCTTATTAACCCCAGGTAAAAACTAGATTGGCCATATTATTCAGGCCTTAAGTAAACATGTGGCCACATTTTTGTTGGCATAATGCATGTATTTAACAGCTCCAGGAATGCTGCATGCTGCTAAACTGCAGCAGCATTTATGTATAAACAGGTGTTTCATTTTTGTTAGCTTTTACTCCCAGTGAGCATTTGAGACACTGACTTTTTATATCTGAAAATCACCGTTGCCAAATTGTAATTACTTTTAATGTCTGCTTCAAGGGATGAGAACAATTACTACTTTCCAGCTCCATTTAATCATTCTTGTCATTTTTGTTGCAGTCATGTTAAGCCTTATTGCTAGAACAGGATACATGCCAGGAAACTGCACTACCTATCTTGAGTGGCTTAAAAAAAATACATGCCCAGTTTACCTGGTTAATTGTAGGTAATTAAGCACACAAAATGAAGTGGTACCACTGCTTTAACCAGAAAAAAAAGTATTTAACATATACACTGGCATATTTGATACTGCGAAAACCCTTTTGCCCCTGCGGATAAGCAAGGACTTAAACAAAAGACATCTCTGCCTTGGCTTCTTGGTTGTCTGCAGTGGCATCCAGGCCACTTCTCACCCTACCAGAGCTTTCCTTATGAACATTTCCACCTTCATTTTAGCAGCTGTAACTGCACTGTCACTGGTGTTTCTGCTGCCACAGCAGCTGTGCCTTCTTGCAGTGGAGAAGGTTATATCTTGGGTTGGTGGAGCACAGAACACAAGGCAGCAGCACGTGTTTTAGTCTGCTTTGCTAATCAGAGCACCCTCACAGGCTCTTCTCCAGGCTTCATTAAAGCTGCCAGGTAGGAGTTGCAGGATCTGTGGGTCAGCTGGTTTGAGTTAGGACCTATGTGCACACAATGGATATAGGTTTTGCTCAAGGGAGCACCAAAAAACGTGGCCTTTCTGTCTGGTCTTTCCATCCCTTGAGCTGAAATTCTTGCAGTGGGTCCGACTTGCAGGTCCCTGGCTGCCTAACAGACCCCACAGCCTTGTGGAACCAGCTGGGAAGCAAGGCTGTGAGCCACAGCAGCTGGAAAGGGGAAGATAGGAAGCTGGAGGTTGGAAACTGCTTCCCAGACTGGTGAGGACTCTGCCTCTTGGAGAGGAAGGGCTGGAAACCAGGAGACAGATTTCACTCCCAGACATGTGAATGAGGTGGGTCTCCCCATCTGTTGAGGTGGAAAGACCACTGAAGTATTTGAAAAGCGATTTATGGCAGAAATGAGAAACACTGGGTGCTCTGGAAGGGAAAGAACACCACCATCTGATTTATGAGACCCACAATGATATTGCTAATATATTTCAATGCCTAGGTAAAACTGATTTCTTTGTTCCAGGTCGTATCAAGTTTAGCACCCCTAGATTTTTTCATCTGAAGTTTATGTTGGGGAATAGATTTGTAGGGAGGAATGTCCACCTAGTCTTTTGAAAGAGTGGGGAAGGGAGAGGAATTAAATAAGAGTTACTTGGTAACTAAGAAGAACTCAAAAGAGGTTCTTTTTTTCCAGCTTTTGTTGCTTGGATGAAGGGGAATCTTTCTTCTCTCTCTGCCTTGTGACAGATGTTGTGTCTTACATGGAAGACAAGAAGTTGTACCTCTCTGGTCTGCCGGATCTTAGTAGGGTTTGTAAGTGGGGAGCTTCATTTAGGAGAGTCTGTCACTGCAGAGTGCTGTTCCTGCACTAAGGTGGCTTTACTGAAAATATGTGTGACTCTGGAAGTCACCAAACATAGGGAACAAATGTCCTCTGAGATGTCTAGATTTAACCTAATAATCTTGAGGTTAAAATGCCAGTTGACCCTTTCCGAGTTACCAAACATACAAACCACCTGTAATGGGATTTTACCTCTCAGCCCAACGGGTTAGTACTTCTCATTAAACAAAGGAGCATATATTTTTTTAGTTGCTAAGGCTAATAAAGGTAAAGGACTTGAGTACTATATTTCTGTATAATAACTGGGGTAAATAGGAAACACACGACATTCATCCCAAATAACTAGTATTTGTAAGAGAATTCAAACCCTCTTTCATTATTATGCAACCATTTTAAGTAAGCTATTAATTTTAACTTAAGAGCATTTACTTTGGTAGCCAATATAATGTGCTTCTGTACCATTCTGCAACATTTTAAAAGACTAACAGGTAAAACTTTAAATGGTTATAAAGGCTAAGAAAGGGTGTTACTGCACAGTGTCACACACATTAGTGTAACACTTGGGAAAATTTTGAAATGACATCTAAAAGACAAGACTTTTAATTTTTGAGATAGTACTACAGCACTTTCTACCTGGCAAAAGGGCAGGGGGAGGCTCTTTTTTGTTACTCTTTACCTTATCAAAATTTGCAAAAAATTTTCAACAGAGTTCTTGTGAAACTAAATGAATGGAACAAAAGATTCCATGGTATGAGCTCTGTGAATTCATTGTTTCGTTCAGTCTAACCCATACTGAGTCAGGTATGGAAACAGAACTGTAAATTGAGTTATTTTTTGCCCTAAAAATGCCTGCATATGAATATAATTGTTAAGTGGATAATTGGTGAAAATACTAACCAAAACATAAGCTGTGGTGTTCAGCTCCACTGCTGTTGTCAGACATTTCAGTATAATTTGAGGAAAAATATATGCCTGGGGGCAAAAAAGTAGGCAACTCAGAAAGAGTAGAAGGATGTCATTACGTCATGTAGAGAGAAAATTAGAAAGGCTAGAGCTCAACTAGAACTCATTCTGGCCACTGCTGTGAATGATAATAAGTGTTTTTATAAATACATTAACAACAGAAGGAGGGCCAGAGAAAATCTCCACCCTTTATTGAATGCAGGAGGGAACATTGTCACCATTGTCCAGCTCATTCTTGAGCTAGTTGCCTGTAGCTGAGGCTGAGAATCAAGTAAAAAAAAAAATTCAGACTACTTTTTGCCTTCAGACTGTAAATTGTAATTTAGTCACTGGTACTCTGGGACTTCATGAATGAATTTGCATCCTTCAGGAGCCTTTTTGAGCTGCATCTGAAGCAGGAAGTCGCACAAGGAAAAACAGCAAGCAGAAGGTTTTGTTTGTGGAAGTGGCCTATCTTGCACGCACCTGAGATGTATGGAAGAGCTATTTTGAAACAGCCTTGTGAACCTTAAACCTAGGCCTCCAGGTCCCTGCCATAAAAAACCGTCTTTTTTTATAATTGCATTCTGGTTTTGCCATTCTGTATTAAATTATCACCTTTTTATTTTTCTTTTTTTAAAATCTTAGGAAACCTTTTAAGTTGAGAAAATTATTGCACCCTTTACCTCTGTGGAACTGGATCTGTGCAGGGAATTTTTATTTTTTTCCTTGAAGTTTAAATGTGATTTTACTCACAACTACAACACCTCTTCCTCTCTTTCCCTTTTCTCTCTAGCATGACTCGTGGTTAGCTGGTGAGTGGAGCTATGCTGAGACATACTTGTGATATGCAGTTTGAGTGGAGTTGTTCCAAAAAGCCAATGAAAAACCCAGTGCAGAAGTACAAGATCTCTTGTGCACCAGTAAGATATTATAAATCTGTTAGGGGGCTGGCCAGGCCTGAGGAATCCCAAAAAATAATTTCTGTAAGAAGCCTTTCAGAGCATGTTCCCTGGGAAATTATTGTCTGTGTTTCTTTGGTTTTGTTTTCTTTCTGTTTTGTGTGTGTTTCTCAAATTGTTTTATAATTCAGGTTTTGCATTACTCTAATGGAGAATTTTACACTTTTGAAAGCCATTTTTATCAGACATGGTTAGCAGAAAAAATACTATTAGAGAAAACTCGAGATACTCCTAACAAAGAGTGACATGGCCTCTGATCCTTTGAACATTCAAGTCCTTTGTTTCACAATCGTGGTGAGTAACTAGGACTATTTGAACTGGAAAAATTAAGTAAGCACTAAAGTAGTGCTGCAGCTAATAAAAATACATATAAGAAAGTTTGAGTTTTACTGCTAAGGAGATTTAGTTCAGCTTGGCAACATGGGCCTTGGGTATTCTTCGTTCAGTACTACACACACACACACACACACTGTGGTGCTGGTTCGTTTGTAGATGCAGGGTGAAGGGAAGCTGAGACAGAAGCAAAAAAGTCAGTGAGCTGTACAGCAGAAAGGGAACAGCAGACAGAGAAACAGAGACAACTACCCCTGAGCCCATGTGGGAAGACTCTCAGAAGTTCCTTTAAAAGGTGCATTTGAAGTTTGTGCAAAATGACCAGAGGTGTCTTTCTGATGGACAAGGGAGGTTTGGCTGTGCCTACACGCTGAGCATAAGAGCCCAGTGTTCCTGCTTGGAGGTGAGGTGATAACTTGCTTTGGGGGATATTTTTTATAATGTTGATGCTGGCTTTTTGAGTGTTTTTCTATGCAGTGTGTGTGTGTGTCTGTGTGTGTGTGCGAGTGTGTATGATGGGAACCATGCGAGTGTGTAGCAAGAACTGTGGTTTCAGTGTATGGAATTTGCTACTGGCAAGTTATTTTAGCATTGAGTCCAAGATAAATACCAGGTAGGCTTATATTTTTGCATGTGCTATTTTGTCCTGAAATGTATTAAAATTCTTCCAAAATGCAGGCAGTTGCACCTTGGATTTCACAGCTTCCTTGGTGCTGTCATTCCCGGTGCACGTTGCTTCATTTTCTGGTTCAGCTTTAATTTTTGTCGTTTAGCAAACTCCTGAAGGGAACCTTAGAAGAAGAGGCTCCAGAGAACTGTTTTTCTTCGGTCTGGGGGCGGACTTTGCTGACTTTTCCTAAAGAATTTTCTTCTGCACTATCCTGCACACTTCTGAGAGTCTCTTGACATCATTTCCACATTCCTGTTGTTTTGATTAATTTCTTTGGAGTACAAATGGGATTAAGCAGAATGGAAGGGTACTGACTTACTGTAAGTGGTCTTGTTAGCTTCCTTAATGTGCATGTAATAGAAGAAAAAAGCTCTGAATTGAAGACACTTCACTGTGTCATTTAAAATTATTTTCTCTGGCCTCATAGTACCTTTCCCTTTAAGGTCTTCTTTGCATGGATGCTTGGAATAACACTTAATTTGTTCCCACTGACATTGTGTGTCCAACCCAGAAGCAGGCTGTGACCTAGCAGATGCTTTTTTTCAGTTCCAAAGAACACACATCCCCATAATAACTGCCATATTATTTCACACATGCCATCTAACAGACTCAGTGTGTGAAAAAGAAAAGGCTCTGGAAGCCCTCATGAAGAAGTGTTGCAGTGGGAGTGTATGGGAAGCCGCTGCTCATGGGTCAGCTGCTAGTCTGCCTGTTGCACTGGCTTTTCCTGGGATTTTTTGGCTTTTCTGTGGGAATTTGTGATATGTACATCTTGGTGGGTGTTTTTCAATCCCTGAACTCTGGATTGCCTGTCAATAAGAGCGTAACCTTGCTAAGAATAAAGATATTATTTAACTTCAGAAATTCTGCTTGCAAAATCATAGACGCAAATCTACAAAGAACACTTTGAGCATTTGTTTCTCTAAAGTTTTGACAACAAAACACTGACAAAAACAAGCAGCAAAGAGCCACAATAGAAAAAACTGACACTGTATAATTGTGACAAGTGGATAGGGAAGTCTGCCCTCCTACTAGTCCCTTCTGGCTTTGGTTTATCCTGTGGCCCTCTCTGGGATCATACAATTTTATTTAGGCACCAAAAGATGTTACTAAATTTTTAAGAGCCCTGAGAACTCAGCAGTGGTTTCTCTATTGGTTGTGTGCTGGCCCCTTTGTTCCACCCTACAGAGGTAGGAAAGAACGACCAAAGCTTTTTTCTCTTTTTCTTTCTTGCTATACTTTGTTCCAAAGGAAGTGGGCTCTGGAAACAGTCACCATTGTAAATCATGGCTTAAATTCAATACTTGATCATCTGTTTAACTGCTGCTCTCTTTTCAGACTTGCACCTAGTGCTGCATTGTCAGGAGAGCTGTGTTGTCACTTGAAAATACATTAAAATCATAATGGATAGTAGTAATCTACGGTAAAATTACAGTAGTAAATTGTCAGTAACTTACTGATATTGAAGAGATCTTTATGTTTCAAAATTAAAAGTGGCCACACATCTTATTTATTGTGTTCCAAGAATAATTTCCCATTCTTTTATGGTTATATCTTACCATAACTGATAAAGTCTTAGCTTTTCATCCACCACAGACACTCCATATCCCAGTGGGTCTTTGATCCAATCTGATCTTCTTGAATGGCACTATAGGGTCAGAGCATTTTCTCCAGAAAGTTTCAAGCTGCAGCATATTTCATAACAGGGCCTTTTTATTAAGATTTCTTCTGCCACTACAATGTAAAATATAGATTTGTGATCTGTCCCTTACAGGATATTAAACAAAAATTATACTATCATTATTGGATTAATTACATGAGTGCTTTCAGAGATTAACTTGCTAACATTACATTTTTTCTAAGGGGCTTACTGCTTGTTTAATGTGAATGGATTTTGAGTGGTCCTGAAGTAGAAAATTGATAAAGGGATGAGCCGAGTAATCTTTCAGACTAATAAAAAGCGTGTGATTCCCAGCTACATACAATTAAAGTTGATTTCTACTCTCTTCCATATCATTTAACAGAGTTTAAACACCCTTGTGCATTTCCGTGGAAGGAAAGGTCCGTGTTTAATAGCTCAGGAGAAGGCAACGAGGAAAGATTTTTCTCTACCTAGTTGAGATGAGCTGAGCTGAAGTGAATAGGGAAATATAGCAGAATTTCTGCTAATGCAGAGTCTTTAGGGCATGTAGTCCGGTCAGGTTTTTACCTCCTGAGCCTCAGATGTGTCGCAAAACATGTTGTTGAAAACAGATATTCACTGGGTCAGCAGAAACAGCCACAACACTGGTTCCCCTTCACACACCCTCTGACAAAAATGGCGTATCTGCAGTCATGGCCATTTAAGCAGTTTTTTGTCATAGCCAGGGAGCAACCAGAGCATACCAAATTTGAAAGTGTTTGTTGTTTGCCAGCTGCTGAAAGAAGACACTGCCTCTATGAAATGTGCAAATTTGTATGCCACTATGGATAATAATTTACACCCATTCAAGAAGTCTATGCAGAAGCATCGCTGGTAGGTTCTCCCTAACATCTTTACAGTAGGTGAGGTCAAATAAAGATAGATCTGAGGAAGACCACCGCAATAAATAAAAGGACACCTGGAATGCTATTAAAAAGAATGCACTGCTTTCCCCATAAAAAGCTGACTCCAAGATGTGTATACTGCCTTCAATAACTCATCTTTCTAAAGAATAAATTGCATCCAAATTGTTATTCTGGGCATCATTGTTAGTGGTTCTGGCACAGCTGTAAAACATTGGAACTTTGGACATACATCAGTTTAATCCTTCATGGAATCTAACATTATCAGGTGAACCTTCTAAACTGTTTCTATTGCTTTGACTTCAGAATTGTGAACTGAATTCACTGGATGTTGCTTACTAGGGTCTGTGACTTCTGAATGTTGCTGCAGTGGCTGTATCTCTTTTACTAAAATACAGACTTGTGTTTGCTTTTCATTATCAATGTTCTGCTTTGGACCTCTCTATATGTTCACTTATGTTTTTCACTTGGATATTTACTTGCATTTGCACCAGTTTCCCCCTTCTGTCCACATGAGAAAACTGAGACACTTGAGTTTGGCCTTCTAAACAGGTGTCAGGTAATGCAAAAATAATTAATGATAAGCTCTAGTGACACAAGAAGGTTTCCTTTTATTTTGATGCAACCCATTCAGTTCAAGAAAAATACACTTTCTACCCAACTGAGTGGCATCTAGCTATCATCACAAGGGAAGAAGTCTGTGAATACGAAAAAGTGTTGTTAATTCTTGGAACATTCCAGTGAAGACAAAACTATTTTCAAATGTTTGAGCTTCTTTAGTTTGTTTATTTGTTTGTTTAGCGTTTTTTTGGTTTGGGTTTTTTTTTTGGGGGGGGGGTTGTTTTTTATTCCCCAAGTATTTGTCCACGAGAAGACAAGCCACTGTTTAAAATCCAAGGCATTTAAATCTTTTGCCAGTACACATCCTGAACATCTCATATGGATTTCAGGATTGAAGCTATCCATGTGGGGAGAAATTTTTCTTTAGGGCAATGTGCAACATGTTGGACAGTCAGATACTGGTAAGTTGGGGTGTATATCTGGGGTGCTAAACTGTGTTTCGGAATAGTGGTTGTATTATTAATTGTCTGGTTGAGAGACTTAAGCCATTTGGTGCTTGGACAAATTGGAATCCTTTAAGTAAATAGTTTAGTCTTGGCATCCTTTCACTGTAACTGCTGCAACTTATCCAGTTAATGTTGAAGGGGTGGATGTTTCATCTTGAAGTGCATTTAGGAGAAAAATTTGTTTTTATACACACTGTCTCTTACACTAAAAGCACAGATTTTCAAACACTGTTTTAAAGTCCGTAATTCATGCCCAGCCACAAGCAGGATCTGCAGCTATTTCAGCTTAAAATGCGAAAGCACCTTTTTTTGCTGGAGAAACCTGCATTTCTTAGACGGCTTTGAATTCAGGTTGGGAATCTGACATCATGGATTGCATTCAAATATCACTGTCTGACACTGGGGGCTGAGAGGGAAAATTTATATTTGAACAGATACAGTCATGGAATATAAGCATATTCCTACATGCAAAATAATATATTACAATAAAAAATACTTAAGCATCAATCCTGCAAATGTTTACTAAGTGCTTAACTCTCAAAGGACTCCTAAGTCTGTAAAATTAAGCAGATATGTAACTATTTGCAGGATTTGTGCCTTAGGACTTGCTCTGTACATGACCAAGCTCCATAAGGTCGAGTTTGGGATATTTAAAGGCCTTTAAGGTAACATAAAGTAACATTTAAGGTAATATTGTTGTAGTGTTGAAACATTTTTTAAAGAAAATAGAAAATACCCATATGCCAGTGGAAATGATCTTCAAGTAGGATGGAACAGCTATCACGATCTGTTTGTTTATGGAAGTAAATAGCTGAAGGTGCATTTCAGCAGAAGAGATTTAAGATTTTATAGTGCAGCAGGACATTGACAGGATTCCTGGAATTATCTCTTGCTCTACAGCTCCGAGTACCTTAACAAAAGAATTAGTTTCACTGCTGCAACACAGTTTGCCCAGTAAAATTTTGGAAACTTCCCCATTTACTGATCGTGATCCAAGAGTGGCTGAGAGGGATGTGTTGATATTCCTTTCCTCTTATTAAAAGTGGTGACGTCAGATCCCAAAGCCCTGCTGCCTCCTCACAAATGTATATCACCCAGGGACTTGCTTAAATTCTGGTGAAAAAAAATCTGTCATTTGACAAGAGTGGAACTGATTATTTGTACCAATCAGGCTCAGAAACTTCATTTAAGTAATCTGACTTTTAGTCTAAAAATCAGTAGTGAGGTAGAAAACTCAAACATTATAGAATTGCCAGCATCAGAGGCTTCAGCTTTATCAGTACCTGGGCTTATTTCTCTTAATAGAGTACAAACACACTAAACAGTAAAAACCAATATATTTTACTAAACATAAAAAAATTTCTTTTTTTTTTTACCCCAGCAGCAATAGCAAATTTTCAATAACACAGTTTTTACTGTGTTTTCATTCTATTTCTTAAAATCTGAGTATTACAAAAATATATACCCATGTGTGGATGGCTGTTCTGAAAGATAGCTGACTTTTTAGACACAAAAGTTCAAGATCTATTCAGTAGTTTGTAGAGCTTAAGTCAACCTATTCCTAACTGTGCCCATCTCCACTTCTGAGCAGGATTAATTCCACTGAATGCTCCTCTTCTGTTCTAGCAAATCAATTCCAAATGTATTTTCTTGAATTCGCCTTCTGCTACTACACTGTCTCCCCAAAAGATGTTTTAAATGAACTATTTATTATTTATAGGCTCTTGTTAAAGCCTATAAAACCCTGCCTGTGTTAGATTTTCATTTTGGCCTGCTGGCCAGCTGGTGTTCTGAGTGATCATGTCTTCATGCAAACACACTAGACAGTTAGGAGAAGATGGAGTACTTACTTCCTGCTGAATAAATGCTCATATCAGGGTTTTTGTTTCCTCAGTAGGCAAAAAGGATGCCATATCTTCCAGCAGATCTGAAATGATAATCAAATAAACTGATCTGAAGGTCAGAGTGCTACATATCCATGTTTCACAATAAGTATAATTAAAACTGTATAACTGGAATGCTGACAGGTGACTCAAATAATTGACGAATTAATGTTAAGAAGCTTTAAATTCTCCAGAAAAGCCCTCTGCATACCAGCTGAAAATGCAACCCAGGAAATAAATCCATCTGCCTACATTTGTTTTAACAGTAATAGTGACCTCTGAGCAAGGTATTTCTGAAGGATTCTTAATGACCAGCTGGAGTTAATAGGCTCTGGCTGTACCTCAGGCTTTAAACTCTGCCTAGCAAGCCATTAATTTCTATTAAATGCTCTGTTCCTTGATTGTTACTGTTTAACAGCATGACAACCTAGACTGTGAATAGCTCTTAGCAGAGAAAAAACACCTAAGGCAGTACAGCCTCATCTGCAGTGGTTGCATGGTGCAGGGGAGCAGAACATGTGATTACTGAAAATGAGGAGACAGACAGAATAAGTCTTGATTTCTGCCATGTCTTCAAGAACATCCACAAAGACCTTAGTAACCAGAAATATGAAGAGACAGAGCCAGTAACTGATAAACCAGAGGAATCACATGGCTGAAGGCCAGATTTTCTAGCTTACTCTGTGCCACTGGTGTGCCCAGAGTGGCACATTTGGGCCACCATTTCCCATTCAAGCCCAAGCCTTAGTGAGGTGCTGAGAAACTGTGTAAGCTCTCAGTTGTGCTGTCACTTGCCACAACGCTCTGCCTAACCCTAAGTGCAGGACTTAAGGCTTTGCCAGGATATTAGCAAAGACTGTGCAGAAGGCTCTGCTAGGCATGTGCAGCTGCACTACACAAACACAGAATTTCTTGAGCTTGAAATTAATTCATAACAAGACACTGTTAAACTTGCCTTTTTCAAAATTCTGCATGGGAGAAGACTGATACTACAGATTTGTAACAGTGCTAAATACATGATAAATAAATTCTGTCATATGTTGGTTAAGGAATTTTATCATGTGTGTATGAATGAAAACTGGTGATGAACATAAAGCTACTAGAGAAATCAACCTCAAATCCACAGCTGACAGAAGAGAAAAAGGTGGTTTTCCAATATAAAATATTTCACAGCAGTGATCTTTTTAATTTTATCATGATTTGTAACTGGCCTACTATGACTTTTCTAGATCTAACATGGTTACAAGTTCTCTGAACAAGTACTAATAGATTTTACTATAATTTTAAATATAGTGCTGCTGAAGCTAGCAAAATGACAGTTTGAAGCCTGTTTTCCATTGGTTGCAGTCTTTCAGAAAAGAACAACCTCTTGTGTTCTCTTCATGCAGTTTCATAATTAGGCTTCCTTTATTCCATGGCAAATAGGTATCACACCATTATGCAGCTACAGATGAGTCTTCACATGTTTTTCCTGTCCTGTTAATGCACTAGTACAACTCAGAGCAGGACTTAATCATGTTCCATTTTTGATTCCTCTTAGTGCTTCAGAGCAGCCACCACTAAATAGAGGGCCTGGCAGAGTGAGAAACCCCAGGATGTCACTGCAGCACAAGGGCAGCTCTGACAAAAGGAGCACGAGGCCTTGCTGAAGCAGTTTTTGCTCCACGCTCATTAAGGCCTGAGAAAAAAGTACAGGTGGGGTCGAGTTCCCAGACTCCCCATACTTTTGGCCATCTGTTCCCATGAACATCTTGGCTCTCACTCTGTGGCCTGGAGAAGTATTTCTGAGAGGTGACAAGTGATGCTGCAGTCCCCACATAGGTTTTGAACACTGAGAAAGTTGGAACCACTGAAGATAGATAACGTATCCCTAACTGACTTAGTTACTTGTTTGCAGCATTTCACATGCTGTAATGTATAGCTACCTATGACCACGTTTAGAACATTTCGCTGACCTATCCTATATCACGGAACCATAGAATATGATGAGTTGGAAGGGACCCACAAGGATCATTGAGTCCAGCTCCTGGCGCTGCACAGGACACCCCATGAATCACATCATATGCCTGAGAGCATTGTCCAAATGCTTCTTGAACTGTGTCAGGCTTGGTGCCTTGGTGCCCTGGGGAGCCTGTTGCAGTGCCCAACCACCCTCTGGGTGAAAAACCTTTTCCTGATATCCAAACTAACCCTCCCTGACATGGCTGCAGGCCATTCCATTGGGTCCTGTCACTTATTATGAGAGAGGAGAGATCAGTACCTGCCCCTCTTTCCCCTGACAAGGGGGTTGAAAACCACCATGGGGTCTCCCCTCAGTCTCCTCTTCTCCAGCTGAACACACCAAGTGCCCTCAGCTGCTCCTCACACGGTTTCCCCTCCAGACCCTTAACCATCCTCGTGGCCTCCCTTGGACACTCTCTAACAGTTTCATGTCCTGTTAATATCGTGGAGCCCAAAACCAGTAGTAGAGTAAGAAACCGCACAGAAGCCTGTTTGCATTCTAGACACCTCCCTAGTGACACTTTAAGTTTCCTTCTCAGTTATTAAAGCTACTGATGCTTTAATTTTTTTACTTTTAATTATGGTCTTATAGTACTTAGTTACTGCATGGAAAAGGCAAGAGTTAATGACTTCCTAGAAACCACAAAGCCAATTAATGAAGATTCAGAGGAACCAGGCTTCTTCAGTTCTGTTGTTTTAGTGTGTATTTTTTCCTTTATAATAATTATTATACTGACTTTTTACCTCATGTTCCTTAGTCCACATTTCTAGAGCATTTTACAATGTATCATTTTGCTCATTTACTAGATGGGGAAAAACTGGAGGAAGGAAATAAAATGCTTTCAGCCACCCAGAAAACTCATGATTCATCCAGAGCACTCTCCACAACATTCATTGCCCACTTTGCATTTTGAATATAATTTTACTGCTTATGATGTGCTTTTTCACAAAACATCATGACTGAGGGAGAAAGAGTAACATTTCTAGATAGGACAAAAATGGATGCTTAGCTCCTTAGCTTTTTGGGGAGGTCAGGCTGGACATATCTTACATTCAGACATAAGTGGAGCTCAGAGATGAACAGGTTTTAACCTATATTCTTTTCAGTCAAATATCACCTGTTTCTTGAGTTTTCCCAAATGTTATTGACCATTTGGTCAATTTGTACTATCTGATCATCTGAAGAGCCCAGTTGCTGAGAAATTTTTAGGATTCTTAATATCCAGGGAATAGAGAATGGCTAGTATTTCTAAATGTTTAAATTTTAAGATTGGAGATACTAATTATGATTTGGTTATAATTTGTACAAACAGTACTTTAGGAGCAAAGAAACTCCCCAAGTGGATCAGGCCACCAGTATAGCAAGCTGGGTTATCTGCCTGCAGCAGCAGCCCATAGATCTGCATCTCTGAGCTGTTATTCATGGATTGAATTGCTCACAATAGCTTTAATACTCACTGCAGATTCCACAGTTTTATGCCAGCTCAGGTATCAGTGACTGAAAAGCCCCCTTGTCCAGTCCTGCCCTCCCAGCTGAGCACACTGACACACGAGAACCAAGGAGCACCTAGGGACAGAAGGGAAAGAAAAAGGAAAAGAAAAGGAAAAGAAAGGAAATCAGGGACACATCAGAGCTTAACATATGGAGTTCCCTGCACAATTTATTTGATGCTCTGTCCAGGTCAGTGAGTTTCAGATAAGAGTAATAGGCAAGAATGTTGCTTGCACTTGTTTTCAGGTCACAATGGTAGCCCTTAGTTGGGACAGGATCCAGCTTCATATTTATGTTGGATATCATATTATTTCATGACAAAAAATATTTTATGAGATCAAATATGAAAGACCCTCTAATGGTATTGTAGCTGCTGCCAGAATTTTTTTATGTCCCATGAAATGAAAGAAATATGTAAATGTAAATGAAATACATACTTAAATTCCAGGTTTGAGCTAAAGGTCTTTGACAAATTCCAAGGGACACCTTTGAGACGAAACACGGAAAACAAGGGTTGTGACCTTGCGGGTACAAGAGAAACGGGGGGGTAGGTAACTGATTTCAAAATTATTAAAATCTTGTATGGAGTAACAAACTCTATACCTTAAACTTTTGATTATATCATTAACAGCCATATCAGCTTTTGGGCTCTTACCTTCTATTTCTTAATACAATTAGATTTATTTTATATGTGATAATTAATAACATGGCATTTTGTTGTTCAAATTTGGGTTAATTCAACATAATTTTTGTTGCACTTATTTATTGCAATTTACGGATAAAAACACTCAATCTTATCTTCATCATAATACAATATTTGTCTTTGCTATTTTATTTTGCCCCATGTATTTGCATATATATCCTTCATTTATAGAGTTATCTGAAACAATGCCTTCAAACCAGTCTTTATATGGTCTGTACAAAGCTGTATAAAACTTTTGAACAGTATGAATTATATACTTGCAAGTGATTATCAGTTGTGAACCAGATTCACCATATTAAACTATAGACCATTTAAAGGTGATCCAGTGTAAATATTCAGTTAAAGCAAGAAATGGAACACTGTTTTAATGAGAGAATGATGGAAAACAAATTGATATTTTGTCTGAGAAGTCATGAGAAGGGACTAAATCTTAAGATAGACAAGGTTAAAGAAAGGTTAATACCGATAAAGGAAGAAGGATTGCTAAAACAACTGAGATTTCTGAAAGAGTGCATTCCACAGATTTGCAACTATGAGTATTGCAGGCAAAGGAGTGTGGATGACAAACTATTTAAAGAAGCAGTGAAGGCAATGGAATACTGGAGTTATATTTCCTTTGGGAGGTCAAAGCAGAACGATATTGCAGTGTCCAATAAGCTGGACAAGGGAATGAGACACACGAGGTTTCCAGCGAACGTACAGAGACTGTGGTGGCAAAGCTGGCAGTGCATGAACTGCTGTTCCCATTTTCCATCACAGAGCTGTGTCACCTAATTTTACATAATTTGTAAAAGCATGAAGGCCACAGAGGACCCTGGCCTGTGTTACTGTGAACAAAGGATCACATACAGCCTTCAGCAAACACTGAAAAACACAGACCATGAAGATGATTTTTCAAACTGCCTAGCTAAAGAGGCCTGCAGGAGATTGGGTTACAACCAAAAAGAAGTATCTTCTCACTGTCTCTCTATCTAGTCTTCTTCTCCTGTGTTCTATGGCTTTTTTTTTTTTTTTTTTTTAATATGGAAGTCAGCACTAGGAATACTATGGTGGAAATTCATGCATTGGGTGAATTTTGGTAATTTCTTCACTTTTCATCTGATGTATGGGGTTTTGGTTCACTCTCTGGATTTGTTTGGTTTTGATATAGACATAGGCTTGGCAAAGCTTATAGATGAAAAGGCAGTCTCAAGTTTCAAACAAAACTACATCACTTTTAATTAAAGGATGTCATCTAGATGATGAAAGACAGTTATAGAGAAATTTATCTACTTTAAATGCTTTAATTTTTCTCCTTGTATTCTTGCGCTTGTCTTATATTTCATGGACAGTGACTGTTTTGCTGCATTTTTAGTATGGTGGGATGTTATAAGGCTACTTTCTGTTTTAACCTCAGTTTATGGTGTTCATCATGCCATGATAAGCTGAAGTACAGCTTTTCTGTGTGTGAATTTTTGATTTTGTTTTATTTCAAAATGTCTGTATTTATTGGGACTAGAGCTTACAAGCTGTTTTACTTGCAACACTTTACAATGTTGTGGTCTTGTTTGAAATTTTGGTTTCAAGTAGTGATCAGATTTTTCATACTTTTAAAGTATGAAGAAAAATGAATTTATTGAGATTTAATTTCTTAATTTGAAAATCTCACCTGTAATAATCAAGTTTGCAAAAGGAAAAGCTAAATACTTTCAGTGTGTGATACCTTTGTGTTCACAGATGTACTTCATGATGGTAACTTCATTTTGTAAGATTTAATGCTTCATAACATCATTAGTTTAAATAATTATGTAAGTCATGAAATAATATAATGTTTTGTAGCTGCATACTGATTGTCAACAAGCAGTTTCCCACATCTCCAACCCTGTTGCAAGCATGCTCTTTATCACATTTTGCTGATTTTTTATTTTGGCTCCTGCTTGCTGCCAGTAAAAACAGCATTTTTCTTTTTAACATCTGAAATTTTGATAAAACTTCTCAGGTTCTCGAATGTGTAAATGCCCATTCTAGTTAAGGAGAGTATTTTCTATAAAGCAAGAAGGAATATAGTCACACACATGGAATTGAAATGCTCACAAGAGTATTTCATAGTTAGCAGCTGTCAGTAAGAGAACAGGTCATTAATTTTCCATTCTGCAGCAAGTATATGCCACAGCAACTTTTCAGAGTATCAATAGGGAATGCCACAGAAACAAGTAAGCTCTCTGCTTCTCTGCACTGTGCTAATTTCTTGTGGACCAAATTTTGGAAATGCTCTCCAGTATTCATCAAGTGTTCAGCAATCACACAACAGCACAGGACATCATGGAAAATTTTTGTATTTTTCTTGTCTCAGTGTCTTGGGGATGACTGATGTAACTCATGCTTATATCCTATAGCACCTGCTGTGAGTGCAGACAGGTACAGGGAAAGAATTTATTTTCAGGATTATTTCCCACGAGGAAGTGTATAAAGTATAGATAGAAACATAATCACCAAGCTAAATACTTCAGCTTCTATAATAACATTTTTGAAAGATACACAATAGGGAAAATCATGAAAACCTTGACTGTGTTAAGGTTAGCTAATTGACTGACATATGGTACAATTTCCAAATTTTATCCCTGTGAGCACGTTTTGTACAAGTCTGAGAAATACCAAGGGATCGGCTTTAGTAGATACTACGAGCACTCCTAAGGTTGGGCTTAAGGAACATTAAATACCATTGCTCTACTCAGGGACAATTTTTTGAACCCTGCAGAGGCTCCTCAGCTAAAGACTCAATGGTATTTGCATTAGGAAGAAACCAAATGTATTCATCTATCACTTGGGACACAGAACATAGCAAATGTCCTGCCCTGCTTAGGAGCAAGTAAACATCCCTAGGATGTCAAATGTAAAGGAACAACTTGCAAATCAATAACAAAAGCAGAGGAAAAATTATTCCAGTGTCAACATAAAGACTGTGTGATATACACATCTCACAAAGTTGATGAGCCAGATTTTCAGAGTCTGGTGCCTCCTGGAAGCAACTCCACTTCTCCTTGTTACTGAAGTTCTTTGTTTCTTTCATAGAATGGCACTGAAAGCATAAGCAGTGATGAATTATGAAATTATACTGCAAAGCAACTGGGAAATGTGGGAGAAAATTAACACGTCGAACTTGAGGATGCTGGCATGCCTAACTACTATGCTAACAGTTGCCCAAAATACAGTATTTTAGTGGGTAAATTTTCAAATATATACTCACCATCCAGAAATGCCACATTTGCCTATTCAGAAACCTCCTAGCAAAGAGCACTACACTGATATCTATTGGTGACTTGTTACATACTGTGGTCTTCTCTGGGAATCTCTCAAGCGTGGCTGATGCTTTGCTTGCCACTCCAATTGTCAGGTAGCCCCAATTCCATCTGTAAAGGACAACAATATGTATGCAGCAGCTATGTTAGCTCTGTTATCTTGTACCAACCATTCTGAACCAGCCACAGATCTATAGGAAGGTATATACCATGTTCACTTCAGCTAAGGTGTCTGAAGACATTTTGCTTGGTACTCTTGTGCTGCTTAAAGCAGTTTGTTCTCTTTAGCTGATCACTATAATGTGCATGGACTATATTACAAATGTGGTGGTTGTGGGCATTGATAATTATACTTACCATGAACCTTCATGTCCATTACCTGCAGTTCATCCTATTAATCTATCCACCCCAGTATTGTTCTAACATTCTAAACCTCTGAGCAGCTTCAAGTAACTGGGACTTTTTCTTAATTTTTAAGTTTTTTTTTATTTTTCCTTTTCCCCCCAAAACCTGTCAAAGATATATTTCCTTCTTTTCCTCCATCAGAAGATTTTTTCCTACCGAATCAATACTGGCCAAAAGACAAAATGGTGATATTTTGCCCTGAATTCAATGGTGGTCTCTGCTGCATCTCATCAAAGTGCAAATCAGGGGCCTTTTGCAACATCCCTTGAGGCAGAGGAGATTGCCAGGGTTCTCAGGGAGCAGCCACCAATTCTCTGGTGTTTGGAATGTCCTTTCCTAAACACTCACAGTTTGAAGCCATGGCATTCTTATCTACATCAGTACTATTTCTGGTGAATTCTAACAGTTTGAAATACTGTTTGGAAGTGTCGAAGACTTACTATTAGTAATTCTCTAGGACTAGGCAGCTGGATTAGCTCTATATGCAGTAGCATCTGTTATTAAAGATCAAGGCTAAAAAAACAGTCCCTATAACATTCTTTTAACACTCAAATGTTTTGCATTTTTTAAATGTAGGAGTGGCAAACTCCATATAGAATGTCTGAAGTAACATAACATTTGTATTGGCATTCACTTGACTTGTCCTACCTAATTCACTGCTCATATCATTGCCATTTATTTTGTGACAAGGAGGGTCATTTGAAGATAATATTACCAAGTGTTCCTTCCACCCACTGGAATTTATGCATATTAAGTAATTTATGTTCATCTTTTTTTTTATTTGTTCCTGTTTTTTATATATCTGTCTATTACACCATTTCCCATGACTTTGTTAAGTGCCTTGGTTTGTTTCCTTTTAATTTCCAGGTTTATTTTTCACAGCTTCTGGTATATTACACTGATCTTTGGCCATATGTTCAGGTGCGCATGAAAATTTGTCTGCAGTTGCCTTGTTGGCTTACTGTGCAGCAAGAAGAAAATTGGCTAAATTGATGGTATAAGCATCAAGCTAACTAACAAAAGCAGCTTTTTGCTACACTGACTATGGGGTAGAAATACACATTACACAACAACGGAATATATTCAATCAGAAACATGAAAAATGACGTTATCAAATTTTTTCCAGTCAGGGTTCTCCCACTGTACCACAACAGTAAAAAGTTTCAGGAATAAAATAATTAATAATGCTGACATTTAAGGAAGCCTTAACACAGTTGATGGTAGAAAACAAATACAAATTCTCCCATGCTTTCACTTGATAAGAAATAGAAGGAGCAGAATGATTAAAGACTTTCATGAGTTATGACCTGGACACACAGTGAGAATATGGGCATTAGAACCCATACGTCAAGTTGTGCTCTGCAGATGTGTTGGATGTGTGGGAAACATCCCTGACAGTTCGTCTTGATGGGTTAGCTGATGAGCAGTTGCTGTCTCCCAAGAAAGAACTTTGAAACTTTCAGCAACAAGACTTTAATTCATCAAGTGTTGCTGATTTTATAGGATGAAACGTAAAAAAGTAAGTTAATAGTCATGCATGAGGATTTCACCATATGAGTAGGTTGAATATGCCTTTGTACTGAAGGGGATGTCTCATTTTATAGAAAGTTGAAAGCAGTAGTGATTGGAAAAGACGGCACACTGCAAAAAAAAAACTGTATGGAAGAATATGAAAGTTTAATGAGAGTAAGGAGTTGGACATCAGCTTATCTGGTTATATTGTAAAGAGAGAAACAGCAACCTCAGCTTTAGCAGCAGTGATAGTCATATGCTCAAGCAGAATATAAATTTTAAATATAAACCTAAAACAAACTAGCCTGTTAATTCAGATTAATGATGCCACTGCAATTTAATCTAAATCCATCTGAAAAGCAACATGCCAACCTAGGTCCAAGATAGAGAGTGTTTTCCCTTGGTGACTTCGTTCTTTCAGATAATCTGCTTTGTTTTTCTGTAGGTAGGATTGCAATGAGTGCCTCACTCTACAAACAGTTTCTTCAATCAGGAAATAAGGACGAATTGGTACAATATTTGGAATATTACACCTGCCCGCCGTCCCCCGGCACGGCCGAGCGGACACGGGCAGCGCCGGCCCTCACGCAGCGCCCGCCCCGCCCACCCCGCCTCTGCGCATGCGCAGCCCTGGCAGCGGCGGCGGCGCGCGCGAAAGTTCGGTGTGGCGGCGCGAGCCGGGCGGCGGGTAAGGGATGGGAAGGGCCAGGAAGGGAGACAGGGAGACAGGGAGACAGGGCACGGGGGAGCCTCGACGGTTCCTGCCCGGGGACTGGAAGGGCAGCGGCAGCTCCTTGCTCGTCGCTCCCTGGAGGGCGCGGGCTGTGGTGTCGGGACGGGGCCGTGCCCTGGGGCGGCTCATCCGCGCCCCGCGGGGGCTGACGGCGAGCGGCCAGCCGGGCAGGGGTACCTTGGCCCCGAGGGGCGGCCCCGGCCCTCACTGCCCTCCCTGGCGCTGTGGGGTTGGCAGGGGAGGCGGCGGGGCCGGGCCGCGCTGCCCCCCGAGAGCTGCGCGCCGGCCGCGGCCGCCCCCGGGCCCCGCACCCCTGCCCGGGGCGCTCCGTGCCCCGCGCCCCGCTGCGCTGGGCCCCGTCCGGCCTGGCCGCCAGCTCCTCCGGGCATGGGGCATCCACCGCTTCTCTGGGCAGCCTGTGCCAGGGCCTCGCCACCCTCACTACAAAGTTCCTTCCTAACGTCTAACCTAAACCCAGTCGTTCTAAGTCATTGCCCTTTGTCTGTCACCACACACCCCTGTGAAAAGTCTGCTTCTGCCCTCTTGTATCACCCACATAGGTACTATCTCGTATTGAAGACATCTAGAAAGAGAGAGACTTCCACCTCTGTGCTGTCTGCATCTCACTATTCCCCTTCCTTCTAGGGTCTTTGGAAACAGAGCAATAATGCGTCATTTTGTGATACATCTTTGCAACCGTAATACATAGATACTTTCCTCAATGACTTATGAATACGGGGGCAGTAAAAAGTTTCCTGCTTTGTTTCTGATTCAGCAGACCTGACAACTTTTGTATTGTGCTGTCTGACACAGGCTGTGGTGGAGGAACTTCACTACAGCATGCTTTTAAAGAATACTGTCTGAAAATGTAGCTGGCCTTTTATTTAAACTAAAGACTAGGGAAGATAAGTGCCCTGTAAGTGCTGGGAGAATTTGATGTTTTCAGTTTCAGTTTTGGCTCACAAATGTGGGTAATTAAACTTACACTCCTCTCCAAAATTTTCCAAATCACCATTTCTTATGTGGAAGAATAACTAAAATAAGTAAAATGGGATAATGCTCTATATCAGTGAAGAATCCTCTAGGTAAAATTTCTGTGATGTAACAATCTAGTGATGACCCTTTGAACACTAGAAGAATCGTAAGAATCTGGAAATTATTTCTGTGTGCTTTATCTCTTTCTGTCATTTGTTTCCTCAGTGACTTCGGACAAATAATTTTCTGTTTGTGTCTCTGTTTCCTCATGCTTATGCAGAAATGCTTTTAACTCTGCAAAACTGAAGTATTTCAGTGAAAGGTATGTACTTCATTACCGAACTAAATATTAGAAGTTCTTAAAAAATGGGGAAAAATAATTTACTTCGTGTAAGAGGTACAACTCTACACTATGTGAATATCTCTGGATATAAATACCAGTACTTTACCTTTCAAATACTTGGGATAAAGAGTTTGGAACGTGTCTTCTTTTCCTATACTTGTATAAGCTGGGAGAATGCTTGAATTTAGCAGTTACATGGCTATTAAAGAAGCACTGGTGGAAATATGAAGACCTTTAGTGTTCATTCATAATTTAATTGAAGAAAGAAAGGCTAATCATTCTTCTCTGTATCTAAATAGATTGTGTCCCTGTTCCTGCTTGTCCTCCTGACCCCCGTAGCTTAGTTGGAATATGTTCTGGCTTTCTCCCTGCCTTCTTGTAGTTTTAGTTTGTACAAGTAGAATTGATTGCTGGTCCTCGATATACAAAGGAATACACGTTTTTCTTCTATATTACAGGTCATATATGACTCCTCTGAAGAGTGGATTAATGTTCTAACTTGCTGTGTACAGTTTAATGTATGTGCTTCTGCACATACATTTGGAAACGAGGGAATTACTGTATATTTTTAAGTGCAGAACTTATATTTCTAAAAAGGAAAAAAAAAGGTGCCAAGGATTAGTGTGTATGCAGCGTCCCCCTCAATGATAGCTCAAAGTATTGCAACTGGCACAAAAGAAATACTGTTTATTTCATGGTGAAACTTCGAATTAGCATCTAGCTAAGGTGTTTTTCTTCAGAGAAACTGAATTTTAGGGAAAGAAATTTCTCTGTATTCCACTCAAGCAATATACAAATATAGCACCCTCAGATCAGTGTTCTTCTGAAGTGTAAGAAAGCATTTCAGATGTGTGAAGTGGCAGTAAAAAAATCTCAAATAGTGGTTTTAAGCTGTAGGAGATGGTGTAACCACATTTAAAAGTTTAACTGAAAAAGCAGAATTTGTGTTTGGTACAAAAATTACTCATTGTCTAGGTAACTACATTCACTTTGCTTTGGCTTACGTGAAGCTGTGTGAGAGCATGATAATTGCCAGAACTGTGTAATGAAAACTGTATAGTACCAGTTCATGTCAGGTAAGCCACGAGGTACGAAGTGATGCATTAGGTGGCAGATTTGGTGTAGGAAAATGGGTACAAACAATAAACTTTAACAGCAGTTTTACAATTATTGCTAAAACATCTAACTTTTTGACTGTAGTGGCTTGGTAAGTTCCTGTGGGGATGAGCTTCTCAGTGTCATGAAAGTTTAATGTGAAATTTGGGCTCCTATGAGACTAGCAAAAATTTTTCCACTGATGTAAACAGAACCAGCATTTCATTCCTTTTCGTGTAACCTGCAAAAGAAGATCTCATTTATGAAGTGTTTAGACTACTGATTTCAGAGACTCATGGACAATCGATGTGTGATGTTACTGTAACTGTTAGTGAAGCTAAACTAGTGTTAGTGATGATAGGACTTTTTGCTAAGTGATGTAAAATATCTTACTTTTATTTTTATGTTGCCAGATACCAGAAACAGTTCTGCCTCCTGTAGTTTGGAGGTTGAATCAGACCTAATGCCTCTTTCCAGAGTTGCATTTATTTTTTGTTTGCATTCTTTTTAGGTGCAATTTCCCTTGTGTTATCTTTATTTCAGCTGTTGTCACAGAAGTCAGCTGAAAATGAGCTGAGTGACAAACTAAATCCAAGGATATTTTAGCATTAATTTTCACTAGAGCAATCTCCCAAAAAACTATTCCTCAAGCACAAGGAGAGATTGCCACTTTACAGTGACCTGAATGTTACCCAAATAATCTTGTAAGGTTTGCTATTCAGATTGTGCAGAACAAAATATGTAAACCTTACTGAGGAAATACGTTGAAAGGAGATGTACTTCACACCTCCCCTGCTCCAATTCTAGGAGATTATGAAGATGGGTACTTGTTTATGCTTCTGTTCACCATGCCCAGGATGTTAATTCTGGCTTCTGCTGTATTTTGTCATATATTGTTGTTACCTTTCTGTGGTAGATCACTGTACACTGCTCAGAGGTGAGCAATTCAGATATGGAAGAGCAAGCAAGGAGTTAAAGGGTGAGTGAGCAGCCCCCTGCTTCTTTCAAGTCGGACTTTTGTTTTGGAAGGCCATGTTGATCTGCTTAACATCGGTGTGCCCTGAGCAAATCTGGAACTGAAAAAAGTTTCCATTTTGCACATCCATCTGATTCCCTGTCTACTGGTATGGACAGCTTTATGTGGGCCTTGCTGGGTTTTGCTCTGGCTACTGCCGACATTGAAATTCTTCTCAATTAGGACATGTTATGTTTTGGTACTTTGCTGAATTACGTAGAACCTCCTGACAGAGATGTGAAGGTACCTTACCTTGTCTGTTTTCTCCTCTTAAAGTTAACTTAAAAAAACCACTTGTGGTGGTGCAGTCTTAGTAACTTCTTTGGTGTATTCCTTTCAAGAGTGGCTTCCAGTGGCTTGCAATGAGATTTTTAATGCAATTTGTGCCTAAAAATCCATTATGTGGGCTGGTACTTGCATATTTTGTATATGAAAATGATGGTTGATTGCCTTGTTGTCCTGTTAGGATTCATTATGGAAGGGTAACAAATAACATCTGTAAAATTCATTGATACCATTCCTGCTTTTGGTGTTCCTGTGGCAAAAGATAGGAGCTAGATGGATGTGCTGAGCTATTATTTCTGCTCTTCTCATTAGAAAAGGTTTTATTCTCAGCCTCTTGAAATGCGGTAAGTCAGAAGGAGGATCTGCTGCTGCCAGATAAGCCTGCCATTAGAACCAGAAAATTTTAGAATTATTTTTGTGTGGTTACTTTTTATCAAGTGAGGCTAATAAATAATATTTTTGGGGTCATGAAGCTTATAGCCTGATGAATAGGAATCACAGAATATTCTCAGTTGGAAGGGACCCTCAGGGATCATTGAGTCCATCTCCTGGGCCTGCACAGGGCCATCCCCAAGAGTCCTGAGAGCATTGTCCAGACACTTCCTGAGCTCTGTCATCCTTAGTGCTCTGACCACTTCCTGGGGAACCTGTTCCAGGAAACAACTACCCTGTGGAAGGGGATGGCTTTATTATGATTGAACTGTCCTTTTGCAGGAACAGGGAGGTGTAATGTTTTCAGAGCGTCCTAGAGAGGGACATGTGGTATGAATCCCAGCAAAGCTGGCTTCCTCGGGGCAGCAAGTCTTCTCTAGTCTGCAGAGCAACAGAAGGCAACTGGAAGCATCATTTTGCTGTTTGCAATGTTACCTGTACAAGAGGTTTAATACATACACTGCCCGCGAAAGTGGCGCTTTTAGGAACCTGCCACAGTCCCTTAAAGATGAAAATTGGGCTGTTTTTCCAGCGAGACCTGGTAACATAATTCAGAATAAAGCTCTGACAACTGTTAAGATACTAATTATCAGAGTAAATACAGGACATAAATAAAGAGGAGCAAAATAGAGGAGTTAATTACTTTCTCCAGGAGAATTGTTAGTCTAAACACTGAATG